TAATAATATACATAGTTACCAATTCTCGAAAAAAGAACTGGTGGCTGTCGCAGATCTACCCACATCACACACTCATCCACACTCCGTAAGGTCAGCGTACACAAGGGATACTTGTTTGATAAATGGCCGTGTTTACTGTGGAGAAAAGTCCTCTATGAAATATTATATTGATCACCAATCGAAGTAAGGCATAATACATCCTTGATCCCAAAACCTACTTATAAGATATGGAACAATTTTATAACTTCTTCTAATATTTAAACGTGAACCACTCAAAACATTCAATTTCTGTCAAAAAACAAAAATCGGGATAAATCTATGGAAAGATAAACATAATTCTCTGGTCTTTTATAAATAATATGATTCTTTTAATTGATGAACTGTTTCCTCCAAAATTTGCTTCGTGTCTTATTTGAAAAAATCTTTCTCACTGTTCATCTATTTATATTTTTTGATCGTGCATACAATATTTTTAGAAAGAGTCTCATTAAAATCTAAGACGCGTTTTTGTTCAACAGAATATGTCACGATGCAGGGCATGACAGAGTGTTTTTCTTAATTTATGTTGTTGATTAAAACAAAGCCAAAGTTATCTTTATAATTAGAGCACTGTTTTTTGAGAGTTTTTCAAGACATCAATCTTTTCATTTCTTTCATACTGTTAAAAGAAAACGTTTTAAAAGAAGATTCTCATTCATATCCCATATTGGGACATTTTATTTCGAAAAAAATTAATCGCACCCACAGTACACAGCTTCACAAAGTATCCTTGGCTCCCAAATGGTCGACCGTTTTACATTTGCTGATTGAATTTGACGAAAATGTCATGATACGAAACGGAAGATGTTTCTACCATGGCGTTTGCACCACAATCGTAATTTATCGTGATCTTGCGTGCTTTGAATGTGCATGACCTGAGGTGGATTTTGTTCAATCCTCCCAGTAGAAAAAAAAACAATTTCTGTATAAAATAAGATACATCCGAACATTTCTCAAACGACAATCATTTTGTGGTGGGTTTACAAAGCTGTTTTCTCTTTAGAGTAGAACTCATCAAATATCATAGTAGAGAAAAAGGATCGCTTATCTTCATCGGAGCAACTATCGAAATGTCCAGGAACGAAAATGATGAAGAAAGATTAATATTATATTGTATTTCTAGGCGAACACAACGTCATACTTGTCGACAAGAAGTATAAATAGTTCTTGATAAGGAACACATTTTTATTTACAACCTTAAAAATTGGCTCATTAATCGATATTAAAAATAAGCCAAGCCAACGGTTCACATCAATGCAAATTCTTCGTTGATATTATTCAAACAATGGCAAAATAATCATTTAAAATCGAAAAAGACAAACAATTTGTATGTGAACTGATCTTGTAAAAAATGCTCTTATCGAATTAGATCTATTAATAGAGGGTCATGAAAAACTATCTTTTCTCGAACTATTGTCTTTTGCAGAACAATGAATGATTAGGAAAGTAAAATTAAACCATGCAAATAATCGTTGTCAAGTGAAATGTTGTTTGAATGTCAGCAGGATATAATTACTGTAAATAATATTTAAAAAAAATTCAAGCGATATATTCCTATCAGTTATCTTGTTGCTGTGAATCTGCACATTAATATTTTCTGTATCATTTTTTCCGTGTGACGCAGTTTAGGCGTGTTATCTCGTTTCAAAAAGTCTTTGAGTCATATGGATTACGATGTAAATATGGACGATCGTGCACTGAAGCAGTGACTGAGCAAAAAACTCATTGCCTTTTTTTGCACTTCAATTTTTATTAATGTTCGATACTTCGCCTTGATTGCTAAATAAAGTATTATTGACGTCATCTTCATCCAGGTCTACTCGCTGCATAGCATTGGGTTGAGAGTCTCCGAATGATTTATCGTTAAAACAGATTGCTTTAGATAAAATAAAGCAAATACTAAAATGATTCAGATTTTTATTTTTCTGTACCGATGGTTCACGAGAGCGATACGAACCGCGATAAAGAACATTATACCTTTAATTTCGTATTCGACCTTTCAAACGTTCTTCTTCTTTCTTTAGATACCCTACTTTTCCCCAGAAAACAAAACTAGGTCAACTTTCGAGAACTAACAAAATTTAAACTTCGATGATTCACCATGAAAAATCAAATATAGCACATTTATATTGATATAGAAATTCTATACTCAATTTTCAAAATTGATAGTTGACCTCGTTTGTAAGAAAATATAAACCATTAGCAGAAGTTTAAAAAACTCCTCGAAAACTATGTCTATTTTATTTTTGCTTATCTGTTCGCGCTCCTTCTGAGCATGAACACACCATTGCTTTTCACTGAACCATATATCAAACAAATAAAACTAAAATCTAATTAAATTCTTTTCCATTTTCTGTTTCTTAACATCAACAAATAAACGTCATCTATTTCATTGAAAATTTCTTAGGAAATAAGGTCGAATAAACACAAAGTACATTTCTCTTCTCTTACAATGTCAGAGAACTACGTTCGAAACTCCACAGCATGGGCGTAGCACAAAAGTCATATGAATCATTTTGAACACTTTTGTATGTAAGAGAAAAAAACTTATTGGTTCGTTTAATACTCATGTATTTTGCAGGTGACTCGAGAATTCTTATTTTATCCAGGATCGAATTCATGCTTAGTAATATTAGAATAAGTGTAAGCTTGTCCAGGGGCTTCGCTATCGGATGCGTTTGAAATTGAGATCAGTAATCGAACAGTAAAGAAAAAAACCTCCACTAATCACACCGATAAGAGAAATACTTGAAGACTAATTCACCAGAATAATCAATTGATCGAATAACTTCTCTGCATTCTTATCTATGATATATCAATCTCAAAAATTATTTTTCTCGTTTGTTCCATGAATCAATTATTTCTTCTTAATAATTGATCATATAATGAATAAATCGTTTTTCGTGGAAACAAAAATTTAATACGATATTCTTCTACGCAGCATCAATAAGAATTCCTATTGATTTAGTCATTTTTAAGTTTTCGGAAAATTTTGAATTCACTAATAATCAAACTAGAACGTAAAAATGCCAATTATATATTTCTTCCTGTAAGACAATATTCATTATTATGTAGTTTTTGTGTTGGATTATCGTTTGAATATAAAAATATGTTTGCGGACAGGAAAAACACAATGATGTCAATTCATCCTTTTTATATTTTGATTTGATGAATGAAAAAGGAAAGAGTTACAATTTCTTCTATTCTGTCGGTGCCGATTAGAATTTTTAATCTCTTTTTCATCGGCATACTCACGTTCTCTTACTATTATTACTGTTTGATTCTCTTTATGTAAGTTTCAAAAAAAAAACGTTACTATTGAAGTTCGTACGACGCCCCTTTTGTTCGAAACGTCACTTCATTCATTATCATAAATTAGATTTTGTTTTGTTTCTTTTAGAAGTTCCGATTGTTAAAACTGGAGGAAATTTTTAATCATTGATACGAACTTTCTTTTCATTTTGTTTTACGTTTCGTAGCGACGCTTCATAGTTTATTAATCATTGATGAAAACAATGCAAACAGGTATTTGTACAATATGTTACCCTCATTTTTTCTCTCGCTTGCAACTGAAGATTCCGATTAATGATAAAATACATATCCGACGTAGTTTACATTACAGTTCTCATTGCCTTTTTCGACAAGAAAAAATAAATAAAAATTGTAATAGCAAAATTCATATAGAAAGTGGTAGTGAAAAAAAAGAGAATGAAAAGAGGCCACTGAACAGCAAGGTTACTTCAACGAGTCATCTATTTACATTCTTTTTGAAATACTGGATGAGAATAAAAAGACAAACGATAGAATACTTTGAGTTTTTATAGATGAATTATAATGCAAATGAGTGTTGAAGAGATGAGTTGAAATTGTCCGAGTAGACAGTGACATTGTGGCCTATTTCTTTTTTTTCGACATAGAAGAGTCTAGCTGAAAAAATAACAATAATAATTGGCATCAGTGTAAATAATAACATAAGAATAAGATGATTTTACATCTTCTGTTTCATTTTCAAGAGTAAAGTACTTGACAGAATCGTTGAAGAAAAATGAGTTTTTTTTTCAAATATTATTTCAAGGTTGAAATTAAGTTTTTATCATTCGCTTGTTTTTACTTACGCTACGATCGATGTTTTTAGTTAATACTTCACATTGCTCAGTAGTCTATAAGAGTGAGGGATCTGTTCTTTTTGTTCTTCCTTTATTTCGTAGGCTATTTTTGTAATAATAAATATAATATGCAAGAAAATTAGCTAGATGACTGTCGAAAGAAGTTTTATGCATGCGTGACCAATAGTAGACAAAAAGAATGACAAGATCAGAATTATACACCACTTGGCATTTTCCTTGTCATTTGGTTATTGTTATGGTCTACGTACTATGAAAAATAAGATTCTTACTTTTATCGTTTCTGAAGAGCTACAACATAATTATCTCGATTGTAGGCGGCGATTTTTACCTGTATACTAGTTTTATTTTTGTGTTATCTTTATTTCAATGACGTCAAAGATGGAAAGAAAACAAAACAGAAGTCGTGCCTGACAAGATCTTCTTTTTAGCGCATTCTTTTCTTTTGAATCATCTTAAAAAGAAAATTTCTCTTTTCTTCTCAACCTTGTATATTTGGCCTGCTTTTCAATAATAACAAAAGTGTAATTAGCAGTGTTTTTGAGTTTCTTAGAGACATAATGCCTATTGTTTCCCAACAAACAATATCTCATTGTTGTTGTCATTCACCTCTGCATCATCATGAGTCGTATTGTCATAAATTTTCAAGAGGATGAAAGGTATTAGTTTCTAGTTATGCATTATTTACCCGCTAGCAAAAAGCGTGATTGCTTTGCCCTTTATTCTTTCTCGTCTTTTTAAAGAGTATAAAAAGAGGAAGCGAGAGGTTTATTGGATCACTTTATCTACTACATTTTTTTCTCTCTCTCCGTCTATCAACAATTCGTATCCTACAACATGGTTGATGTATTGTATAGATCTTCTATGAACGTATCTCCTCATCCAGTTATTTTTCCATCAACGAACCATCGTCGTTTTAGAACTAAGGATCATTCCCCGATGTTTTTTGACGCTGCTCCAATAGCTGTCAATAATAAAATAAAAGCAATTCAAGCACGCAAAACTCCTCTTACACTACTCTCCAGCGATCACGATCATACTGATATTCGTCAATTAAATTTTGGTTACAATGGAGGTGTTACAACTTCTAGAACGGATTTTTCTGTTCTAACTGCCGAAAGATTAGTTGATCGTAGTAAAGACATACGTCTTGATCGTTATTCAAAACGTCAAAATGCTCGTCAATCTGTTTTATCAACGACAAGTATTGCTCAACAATCATCCGTGTGGCCAAAATATCAAGTAACGTCTGTAGGTAATAAACGCAATCATATACAATCAAATTCTATAACAAATACACCACCCGCTGTCAGATCAATTAAAAATAAATCGTCACCAGGTGGTAAAATGCCCGATATAAATCGACGTCGAAGTCGTCAACCATTAGCTGAACGAGCAAATACTCTTACTCCCGTTGAACCACAGAAAAAATCTATACTGAAAACGAGACCATCACAAGTTAAAATGCACAGCTCACTAGACAGGATCAATAATAATACTAATCATAATCATTTTACAACATATGAAACTGAAGAAGATGATGATGAAAATATTCTTCTTGCTAATGAAGAAAATACAAATATTGTTATGGACGAAGAATTTGAACGATACCTCCAAGCAGCACTTATTAAATGTGCTGATTGGCTTATTAAATATGTATTTAATCCAACAGTTGATGATATAAACGTTTAATTTCTTTTTCTTTTTGTACATAAGCATCGATAATGATGCATATGCAATATGTGAAATAAAATAAAATATTTTTGTTAGAATATCTTTCTCGTCGTTTTCATTATGTAATGTGTAATCATGCGGTGTCACCAAGTATTACACTAAGTTTTCATTCCTGCTTAAAATAAAGGGGAAATAGTCTTTATTACTCAAACGAATAGAAGTTCTTATCTTTTTATTTTGTCAAATGATAAATTTATATGTAATAAGTTCGAAAACTTTGGTCTCGTCTCGTCAATGGACTTTCGATGAATCGTTCTAGAGCAGAGTCATCTTGAAAGTTCAAATGTGTCAAATGCACGCCAACATTTCTTTTACCGACAATGATGATACATGTTTCGCAACCAATAGTGCCACGCTCACAATGAACTTGTCGTGTTGATTTAATTATGAGAGACTTGCCCAACTATTTAATATTTTAACCAATATAACAACATGCGGTTTGAAATAGATAACAATCACCAATAGACATAATCTATTCTAATTGCACAATAGGTTTCTACGAAAAAAGATCGCGGCAATTCGTTGCGTAAGCAGTTTGCTGTTTCGAAATTACTACGTCACTAGGAAATCTCTTTCAAACCCGCAAACAAATCGTAATAGTAGGATTGATCATTGAAAAACATCTTAAAATCATAGAACGACTGGTTATATGGCAAAAAAAATAGTATTATCGATGTTTACTCTATATTATCATCATTCTCAATACAAAAACAAATTTCTAATGCCTTATACATCATAACGTTTTCAATCTCTTTCAAATTTATAATTACTTCAGTAAAATTAAATGCATCATTTTATATTTAAGACAAACAAAAAAAAATCAATTAATCGAAGGTAATTTATAATTCGGAAACATTTTCGATGAGCAAACGCCATAACTATCCATCATAGGCCGATTGACTTGTGAAAAATATCCGCCTGTTAGACGTGCAAGAAATCTGTAATAACCCGGTCGCATTACGTGTGGTTCTACAACGGCTGCATGAAGTACAAGTGCTGTTGACAAGGAATACAAAAGCGAATCGAAATGTCGGATTATTGGTACTTTTCCATCATGAGCAGCTTTAAAATAGATACTCTAAAGATTGAAACACATTATTACAATTAAAACTTCTGTATTTTTCTCTTCAATACTTACTTCAAGCAGTTTGCCAGTAATATACATGGCTAATGTTGAACTTTTATAAAATAACATTGAAAATCCAGCTAAATAACCAGCTAGAAGGCCATGTTCAGGTCGATCATATTTCAAAATATTACGTAGTAAACAACTAACGGCCTAGAAGAGCTCGATATAAAACAAGAATGAAAACATTTCCTATGAAAAAAATTTACTCGATAAATCGCTGAATAAAGACCGAGAAATTTCGCCAAGTCAAATGAGCTTTTAGTCAATGTTGCAAAAAAATGTGTTGGATGTCGTAGAAATTTCAAAGGTGAACTCGTGAAATGTAAGATAAACTGTATTAATACACCAGCTAGAAAACGTTTGATAAAACCCTGGAATGAAAACAATTTTTTTTTCTAAAGTCAACTATGAAAATTCCTTTTCGAACCAGAAGAACATGAAGAAAACAACGATATTTATGTGTACATATTGGCTGATTTTTATTTTGAATTCTCGGCCATCGTTTTATATTTTTTATTAATTTGTAAAGCAATGCGAAATATACTGATTTTTGTTTTGGTTTCGGTATTAATTCAACTGCTACCGATGGTGCGCATTCTTCTTTACCGACAAGTGATCTAAGATAATAAAACAAGAAAAGAATGATTTATGACTACTCATATATCGTCTACGAAAACTAAAATAACCGCAAAAAGGTGTATGCAAAATATACCCTTCATTTACGACCAGGCTTTTTTCCAACAAATCAATTTAGACATCTTTCGTTTTTATCGACAAGGACAAAGTCGAGTCTGCTGAATGTTACTGTCAATTTAAAAACGGAAGTACCAATTGACTGTTTAAAATCAATGAGTCATGGATTTATTAATGTGGTTAAAGTTTTAAACTGCTGTATAATTCAACAGTTTGTTTTTGTTCTCGATTCACCTTTATCAATGAACTTGTCTTTTGAAGAATAAACTCGAAGAGCAAACTTCAAAAAGATTGTGCATATCTACAGTCCCGGTTATCAATCTAAAAGGTCAAAAATAGGTATTCAAACTACCGATCAACGATCGTACGCCGAGGACATCTCGTACCCCTATATTAAATAATTCCCTATTGTATTTCTGATATCATTATAATTAGCTATCGTGAGTACATTGTGCTCGATTTGAAAATCCTACGGGGACAGTGCAAACAGCTTTTTCCTATAGAGCAAGTTTTGCAGAATGTCAAGACTATTTTGCTAATCAACCGTTGCACCATGGTGCCAATAATGTGTATCAACAAAAATTTGTCCATCAATCAGTTGACTTGACATTATGCATCACACAGTAGGTACGTCGAGTCATCTCGCAGAAGTAGACATATCCTGTTGAGTCTTAGTACGCTAGCTGTGCATATTGACCGATGCTGTGACTGAGGGCATAATTAATAAAAAATATTCTTTTCTATCAATAAACATGAAAACATCGTGTTGATAGAAAGTTCACTTTGGACTTTACCCTGATATATTTTTTCGAACGGAATTAAAAATAATGATTTTTTTTTTCGGGAAGCACTAAAAGAATTCAAGCCAGATGAAATCTCATCCGTAGATATTTTCTTTCTTATGGCATAAAAGACCAAACAATTCACAATTGTCTAAATATGAGAAAAAAAAATATTATCAATCAATCTATGCCGTTGAGACTTTATTATTGTTTTAAGAAAAAGTTTCGTATCTTCAGCTCTACGATCTTTATTTTTCGATGACCGAGATGAATTTTTTTCATTGCCACAAAAGTTAAATTAGATGGTCATAACAGAATTTCTAATATCATTAGTAAAGATATTTATTCTTTTATCGCATTATCAAGATTAACTTATTCTGAAGACTCGAAACGATGAATTGTTCTTAGCAAACGTCTACAATTAATTCTTAATTTAGTATATTTCATTTACCTGATTACAGAAAATAATAAATTATTATGTTTATGATCCGATGTTGTTCTAAATAGGAAAGCGATCCAATAATTCATCGAAACATATTATTATTCTTACCTACTTGAGAATAAATGTATAGATTGCCGATGCAATAGCAAAAATAAGAATCTAAAAAGAATAAATTTTTACAATCAAATCTTAAAATCAAATGAAAGTTTTACTTCTCCGTTATGAAGAGGCGTAAACATTTTTCGTTGTATAGCCATTTTGAATAGAACTTCAACTGCCTAGTAATCCGTAAGTTACAGAAATAATTTGAACGAAGAAAAAATACTCACTAAATTCGCCATATAAAGAGCCAAGGCGCCGCGTCTATAAGCCAATGATAATTAAAAGAAATTTTTTTTAAAACCTCTTTCACTTACCGTTGTTTACGTTCAATAAGAATCGCAGGAAAAGTACAAAATATCACTTGAAAATATAATTTATAATAACTGAGATGTCCACACAATCGTCTAGATAAAACAAAAATAAATAGAACTGAATCAATAATTCTTCTCCTTCTCTCTACCTTCCACCACAACAAACAGGTAGAAAAAACATTCCATGAGTACCAAGAAAAATCGTCGATTGAATTGTTTCAGTAGCAAATCCAATTAAAAGTTCACGTAACTGTTTTAATGTCCTGACTTTTCTCAGTTTGATAATACTTGTAGCCTGAATGAATGAAGAAAATTTCCTACGAATCAAATACAATCAACCATTCTCACTGCATATAAAACAGAATACACTTTGAAGGATTCTCGGAATGATGGAACTGTAAGCAACCAGGCCGCTTCCACACAATTCTCACACCATGGATGATACACTTGTTTACATGCATACGGTAACGTGGAACGATATTGTACAGCCATTATCTGAAAATTTCAGAAAAGGAAAATCATTACACTTATTTAAGTCAACTGTTTAAACTCAAGTTTTCTGATACAGCAGTATGATTTTCGTCAAACTCGTTGGTAAGAGCGCACGCATGAGATTTCGTTCGTTGTTCCGCAACATAAAAAGGAAACATCTACTTTCAGAATACATTTTTTTTATCATTCTGCCCTCATAAACTATGAAATTTCTAATTTTGTACATTTACCGGAAATCGAAAACAAGACAAACACTACTACGCAAATGCCTTTTTAAGCTAACATGACGGTTCTTTGTTTATTTTCCGTTAAAATGCAAAAAGATTTCAAAGTATATTAAGTACTTTTCTTTTGTTTCTAACACACTGACCCTTGAAAACAGTGAAGAATATAACCATCGTCCAGTTTTCCTGTATCGTAATATTCGATTTCAATTGTTGGTTGACAATTTAACCAATCAGAGAAAAAAACAATTTTAGATAGTATTTTTGTTCTTTCAATAGATAAGAATTGTCATTGTAATTTATTAGAAAAAAGATCAGCATTAGCAAAACTCTATGTTCAAATCGATTGAGATAGTTGTCGCTACTCGACTTTTTTTTGATCACACGCTAACAAACAACAATCAACGGTTTCTTGTCTAATGATAGCAGATAATGATCAAACATTCCAACCAAATTCTTTTTCAAATAAACCTATCTTATAAATATACATTGTATATATGTATATAAAAACGACATGATCTATTGATTTATGCTTTGAATGCTACCTCATTGAGAGATATACAAATTGAAGAATATATTTTTTATTCTTGGCCTTGTCTTAGAACTGACTCACTGATTACATTTCATCTATTTTCAAGATTAGCTTATAGACAACGTTTCAGATAAATTGATGATGACAGAGGATTTCAATCAAACGTCATAGTGATAGTGAGTACGAAATAAAATATAAAAATAAAACAGATACAATAGGACTGACTAATCTAGTTCAATGATGACGTGGAAAAGTTTATTTTTATCATATTTGATGAATCACCCATAGATCAAATCAAAGAAGGAATCGGTTCACGTAGAACAATCGACCAATTAATTCTATCAATATACGTATATGAATCTGTACATACATGATTGGTGGAATTCCCATTCTATGTGATAATCGTACAAAGAAGTCAACCGACCAATCTGATGTACGTTTTTGATTATGGTCTTTTTTCAGAATTCAAATTCAATTAAAATTAACCTATATCTAAATAATTATTCAATTATATCGATAGACGATCGAAAAGTATATTGTATAAATTGACGTTTACTGATTGGTCAATGCGGGGGTGAAGAGATCGGCACTCCTCCTTTCTTTCTTTCCTGTACAATCTATTGTACGGATTTTTTTGCCGTTCTCTTGTCTGTTTCTCTCGCAATGTCTATCTCTGTCTCTCTCCCTATTGCTCTTTACATTTTCTGCCTTAACAAAAGAATCTATAACAAAAGCCCATATTGTAGTAACTATATCTTTCATTCGATTATTTTTAGCGAGCTTGGTTGTGTATCCTTCAGTTTGTTATTGTGTCAACAAGCTTTCAAGTGACCGATTTAAATTAATTTGGCGAACACTAGCAAGGTATTTTGACTGTTTTCTGTTTGTTTTCGACTTGTTTTTCATACTGACCATTTACGTCTCTATTTTTTTTCACATTATTAACAAACATGTGTAGGAGGTAACCAAGTAGAAAGTTCCAGTAGGCGTTCGAGTCGTTCTCTGAGGTGAGAAATTATGGATTGTATTGTATATAGGTCTATTCATTTGCTTGTGTTACGTGTCCTTATTACGCATGATGACACGAGTATGAATCACATTTATTTGTTATAAATAGCTGCCAGCGACAGACTTATTTACAATTTTTGTTTGAAAAATAGTACGAACGTTCTTTTGATGCTTTCTAACTGTGTCGTTACACAATGCATTCGCTTGTTTTTTGTTTTCACGATTTTAACTTTTTTATTTTATTATTTTATAGTTTGCGCTTGAGTGCAATAACATAACTAAATTTAATTAACATATTAACTTAACAATTAACAGCAATGGATCCAATAGTATCAGACAAAAATCTCTCGTCTTCTTTCCAGACAACATTAGCTGTCGGCGGCGCAGTCGCACTTATTGCTGGTGCTGTAATTCATCGTCATAAAGATAAATTATCGTCATTTCTTGCTGAAAATCTTGTTAACGACGAAATGAATCTCGATATTGATTGGCAAAAACTTTCAATTCCGGCACAGGTTGGTAAATGTAAATTACAGAGGAATATGTAACTTCACATGAGGGAGAGTTCTTTTTCACTCAGAAGAAGATTAAATACAATCATTTACTGCGTAGTTGACTATTCATTGTAAGATCATATACAATAGTGTGCATGTACACACACTTGACTGATAATATATGACGTTCTTTTTGTCTCTTAGGTAAATATTATATAACAATAATAAAATAGTATCGTTTTTTTATTAGGCACAAGGCTGCCCTGAAGCACGAGTTGCTGCTGACCTTGGCTTACGACCATTGATCACAAAGGGAAAATCCACGATTGATGATCGTGTTTTTTCGACATTTTATGAGGGTTTTAAAGTTGGCAGAGATACTGCAAATCGTCGAGGTAAAATTTGCTCATTCTTTTTTGTTTCGATTTATCAAAAGAAAAATTTTATTTTTTTTAATTAGGAGACAAAAGATGCTTAGGCTTTCGAGTAGATCGTCAATCTGAATATCAATGGGTGACATACGATGAAGTAAATAATCGAAATTCTATTTCGTTCTAACGAATGTCTTTATATTATATATGTAGACCGAACGTGCTGCAACGGAAATCGGTAGTGGGCTTATTCAAGTAGGTGAACATCACGGACAAAAGACATTCATTGGTATCTATGCAAGCAATAGTGTTGAAGTAAAGTTATTCGAGTTCATACATAGATATAATAATATTCACAATTTTGTATTCTAGTGGATGACTACGGCTATTGCATGTCATTTTCATAGTATGATTTATGTACCTTTGTACGATACACTTGGAGAAGCTGCAATCGTTCATATTATCAATCAGAGTAAATTAGAATTTTGTTTATGAAATAAATATTTTATTGAAATCATTGTAGCCTCGTTGAAAACGATTTTTGTCGATAAACCAGAAAATATTCTTAATCTACTTGGACTTGCTGATCAAGTTTCAACATTGAAACGAATTATATTAACGAAAAAATTACCAGCGGAGAAGGAAGCTGAAATTAGAAAAAAAGCTGAGGAAAAAGGAATCGCAATTATGACATACATACAATTATTAGTAATATTTAAAAATAAAATTTTATCGTATAAAACAATTGTTTTTGTTTTCGTATATAGGAAATTGGTCGATCGGAGCCAGTTCTACATCATGTAAGAATGTGAAAGCAAGATAAGGCATAGTTCTATGAAATTTGTATGTTTTTAGCCACCGAAACCTGACGATATCTTTGAAATTTGCTATACAAGTGGTACAACAGGTTTACCAAAGGGTGCGATGTTAACGCATAAAAATATCATTAGTTTGTCTCAATCAGCAAATGAATTTTTCGTAAATTGACGAAAACAAAGGCAATACAAGAGAAATAAATTTTTTTCTCTTTCTATTTAGAAACCTGTTTTTAATGAATTGGAAATATTGATTTCCTACTTGCCATTGGCACATTCTTATGAGCAAACTATTGAAGTAAATATTTAATATTTTCGTAAAAAAGAAATATTTTTTGTTTGTTTTAGCTTTATTGTTTATGTAGTGGTTTTAAAATTGGCTATTTTTTGGGCGATGTACGTCAATTATCTGATGATCTTGCTCACTTAAAGCCAACAATTATGCCATGTGTACCTCGACTTCTCAATCGAATGGTAAAAACAGATGTTTTTCTCGTTACAAAAAGTTATTCGCCGAAGCGGAGGAAGTAGAAAGATCATTGAGTATGTGTTCCTATAGCAGTGTAGTGGTGAAACTTCTTCATCGCGATTCTGAAAGGTACTGATTGGAAAGAAACTTGTTTTGTGTAGATGAAGATTTGTGTTTAACATCTCAAGAAAGATTCGACGTGAGTGTGTCTATACGAATTCGGATAGAAGACGTTATAACGGGTAATCGCGATGGAGAATCTATCGTTGATTATTTTTAGAAGGTCATTGCCAGAATACCTAATTGACAATAGGAGATGCATATTGAAAATCTTCGAACATGGACGAATGATTTTATGCAGGAATATTCGAAATCCTTGAGAAATTATTGTAGTGAACTAAATATTTTTCTATTAGTATCACGTACGAAAACGGTCCTAGTTCTCGAAATCTCTCGTCATGAGACTAGAATCGATTGTTCTCTTTTCAGTATGATAATATTCAAGCCACAACTCGTCGATTAGGTCCAATTAAACGTTGTTTATTCAATATGGCTCTATCAGCTAAAGCACGTGATGTCGAGGAGCATCGTGTGTCACGCCACATGGTTTGGGATGGTCTTGTTCTCAAGCCTATTCAACAGCGTCTTGGTGGACGTGTGAAATTAATTGTTAGCGGTGCTGCACCATTATCACCAACAATTTTACAATTTCTTAAACGTGTTTGTGGTGCTTATGTGGTCGAAGGTTATGGACAAACGGAATGTTGCGGTGTAGCAGCATGTCAACCGCTTGGCGATGCAACTGTTGGAAATATCGGCGTACCATTAAGTTGCAACATGATCAAACTCGTCGATGTACCAGAAATGCAATATTTTGCAAAGGATAATGTTGGCGAATTATGTATTCAAGGTGCAAACGTATTTAAAGGTTATTATAAAGACGAAGAAAAAACACGAGAGGCACTTGATGCAGACGGATGGTTACATACAGGCGATGTTGCTAAATGGACACCGGTAAGATCTTGTTTCGGAAATGATAGTTTAATATTTTTATTTTTGTAGAGCGGTCGTATTCAAATTATTGATCGAAAGAAACATATGTTTAAATTATCTCAAGTATGTAAAAATGAAATTGATTTATTTTAAGAAAATTTGATTTATTCATTTTCTAGGGTGAATATGTTGCACCGGAACGTATTGAAAATATTTATATTCAGAGTAAATATGTAGCTCAAGTTTTTGTTTATGGCAACGGCTACAAGGTAAGCTGTTTGATATTTGTTTTGTTTGGTTTTTGTATTCGATGTTTCCTTTCATAGAGTTATACAGTTGCTATTATCGTACCTGATTCAGATGAGCTTGAAAAACACGCACGCGCTGAACATATTTCAGGTGACATGGCTGCCTTATGTAAGAAAAAAGAAATCAAAGATTTAATATTTAATGATATTAAAAATTTGGAAAAATTTAATGGATTAAAAGGATTTGAAATGGTATGTTTATTCTAGTATGAGAAATTTTAAAGAAAATACTTTTTTTCCTTAGGCAAAAGATGTTTATCTTTTTCCAGAACAATTTTCAGTTGAAAATAATCTTTTAACGCCAACGATGAAAACGAAACGATCTGAATTATCGAAATACTTTGAAAAAGAAATCGATGAAATGTACAAAGATATTGAATAGAAACCCTGTACATTGACGAATCCTCTCTGTGTCAGATGATGCGTTTTGTCAGGGAAGATTGTCTTCGTTTATTATCCATTCAAGATACCTAATATATGTTCTTTTTGCGTCTTCTCTTCTTTATCATATTTTATTTCTTATGTATACTTTGGAGAATTTCTTTACGTGCTGGTTCATTCCTTAGCGCTCATTTTGTTTTTTGTTCCGGTTACTTTTTTTCTTTCTCATATATACATACATACATAAATATGCACTTAAAATAGCTGGAGAACTCTTCTGTTCTATGCATATCCCGGACTTCTACAGCGAGAATGAAACATAAACATATGCAGTTTCTGGTGTTTTTTTTTGTTTTTTTCTCTTTATTTTATTTTATTTTGTTCTATATCTGTGTATGGTGCTTCTCTCTGATACTTTTAAAATATTTGTGTCATCACATAAAAAAATCTCAGAAGACAAAATAAAAGAAAAACTTATCATTTTACAGCAAATCAAACATTTTATTAATTGAACACAAAGTCTTTCCCAACGTGGATGCAGGATCATTAGCCTACGGAAGATTTTCCAAGTCAAAAAATGACTTTACTTATCCACCTTTGCTCTATAATTTCAAAATAATCGAAATTTGAAATGCTTCGAATTTGAATTTTCGGAACGGAAGGCGCATCTCGCTTTCATTCGAATGGCGCTAGTCGTCTTAGAACTATAGATGGCGCTATTTATCAGATATAAAACAGAAACAAAAAATATATAGGCCGCATACCTGCGCAGAGTCACTCTTCAATCCCGATTCAAAAGTTTGAAAAACACCATCCAACCATATCCGAAAGCCTTGATTTTGACAGATTCTAATTACAGTACTCTCACATTTTCTAATATAAATAAATTTCCAACGTAACGAAAAACAAAGCTGATAAATTCTAATATCGTTCTCTTCATGATGAAAGGTATATTTATTGTCGAGTTACATGACCTTGTATTCTATCAGAGTCTGCCATCTATAATAACACTCTATTTGATTTGTTTCCTTTTGAACAGCTGTATTCTAGCTAGTGCAGTACATTGTTCTTAGACTGAGAACAGTTATCTCCTGCGATTTTATGTTTTTCCTATTAACGTATATCAATGTTTAATATTCTAGATAATTAAATATAGAGTTTTTTTTCTTTAACCTGGTGTACAAATTTAGCTTGGCAAAAATCAACAAATGACGGAGAATAATCGTTTAAATATTTCACCAAAAGAAGAAGCTTTATTAATCTTAGAATATCTTGAAAATGAACAAATGTCAAAAACATTTTTGAATTTTCTCGATGAAAATAAACATCTTGCTCATCTTCATTCGCGTCTCTATGCGAACTATGAAAATCCTGAACTGTTTCAAAATGAAAATGATTTAGAAGTTCTTGATTTTCAAAACTTTTTTAATTTATCTAAACAAAATGGTTCGTGAACAGCAAAGCCACTGTTTAACATTAAATAATAAAATATTCATTTTTCTTTTAGAACGTCTTAATCAAACATTTTTATCTTCAGAACTCGACAGCAATAATCCACATGATTTACTATTTGATGATGATTTTTTAACTGTAGGTCTCAATGATTTAATGAGTCAAACACCACCCATGGATTATCAACATGATTTACCTGATACACCAGTACCATCTGTACCACCAATGACTGCCGATGATAATGAAGATTTCAATTCAGCACTTGAACAATTATTTTCCATGCATCATGAGCCATTATCAACGCCGCCTCATCAAATTGTTCAAGTTATATCTGATACGAATCCTAAACCATCATTTACAAAATGTATTGTCGTCACGCAAGATTTTCTTCAATCGATGTATACGCAACAGCAACCAACGATAGCAAGTAGCGCAGTCAAACGAAAAAAATCTCGCCAACGACGATTAAAAAAAGACAAAGAAAATTATCATCAACAAAGGAAAATAATGCCGAGAACACCACCCGATTATCAATAGTAAAGCATTCGACTGTTTTCAAGTTGTATCTACTCCTTGACTTTATTTTTTTTCTTCTTCTCCTACACTCAAAAACTTGACCGCAGATAAAAAAAAGAAAACATATTTTTTTGTACTTTGAACATTTGATTTACGTTGCACGTTCAGATATGATTGAAAAGAGAACTATATTATGTTTGTTACATTTTTAAAGTTAATTCATTAGATATACATATATTTTTGTTTATTATAAATGTCATCAACCTTGCGGCTTTGTCTACAATCGTTTCCTATTAAAAGAAGTATGTCGAACTCATGATGATATATATTCCCTATACTATTTTGTCATTTCTTCAGTTTCCAGTATGCGATGGAGTTCTACCACTACTTCAGCCGGATCACCACGTAGACTAACGACACACTATACAATTCATCCGAGAGATAAGGATGAAAGATGGAAAGGTACTAATATGAATTCAATCGCAAAAAGTAATTGTTTTTTGCTTATAGATATTAACATGGAACGTTATGCAGAAGAATACGATGTAGCAATTGTTGGTGGTGGATTAGATATCCTTTTTTAATGATTTTATTCAAAAAATTTTTGTTTTCTGTGAATATAATATGACCTCCTTAACCACATTGTACCTGGTCTTTCAGCTGCAATACAATTAAAACAATTATCGAAATCGAAGAAAAGAGAAGTTCGCGTATGTGTTATTGAAAAAGCGTCAACTATCGGTAAGAAAAAGATAAAATGTTTTGTGAACAAGCAAATATTTAATAATTACAGGTGCTCATATTTTGTCCGGTGCTTGTATTGAAACGCGAGCACTCGACGAGCTGATACATGATTGGAAAATAAAAGGCGCTCCATTGAATAATCCCATTGTAAAAGATCAATTTTATTTTCTTACAGAAAACTCAGCAATGTCCATTCCGATTCCAAAAGGTATTATTTATTTTAGATCTTCGTTTCATGTGTTTTTCCCTGTATAGGTCTTCCTATGTATAACCATGGCAATCACATCGTGAGCCTAGGTAAATTAGTTACATGGCTTGGCCAACAAGCAGAATCGGTTGGTGTAGAATTATATCCAGCGACAGCTGCCAGTGAAGTCTGTTTGATTAGCTTTTCTCTTCTTGCTTTTGATGTTTTCTCATGTTAAGATTTTATTTCATGATGATGGTAGTATTAAAGGCCTTGGAACAAATGATGTTGGCATTGCAAAAGATGGTTCACCGAAAGTAAAAATTAATTAATTAAAATCAGATAGTTTTTAGCAGCGCTTCTAAAAAAAACAATCAGAATCAAGGAAGTTGAAGAGGTCGCTAAGTGAAACATGTTTGTCTAAGCGTGCTTCGATGACGAAGATATTCATTGATGCGCATTCGAATATAAATGATCAAATAAAATATATTGTGTTCTCTAAATGAAAACTTAAATGATTTCTGAGCTTTTCATTCTATTTAACCAGAGAATCTAAGAGATGGTGACAATGAAAATAGCTCACTAAACTTTGCTTTTAAGTTACATTTGTCATCGTCTTATTCAATAGTGTTCATTTGCACGTGGAATGGAATTACATGCAAAATGCACAATATTTGCCGAAGGATGCCATGGTCATCTAACTAAACAACTTTGCAAACGATTTAACTTAAGAAAAGATTCGACACCGCAAACGTACGGCATTGGATTAAAAGAAATATGGGAAGTTGATAAACGAAAACATCAACCAGGACTTGTTGTGCATACCGCTGGCTGGCCTTTGGTGAGTAAAAACATAAATCTTTTTTGTAAGAATTGGCTCCTAACTACATTTTAAATATTTATTTTTCAGGACATGAATACATATGGTGGATCTTTTATGTATCATGCATTAGACAACGATCAACCATTAGTGCACGTTGGATATGTTGTATGTATTTTCGATAGAGAGATTTTGTTACATATTCGAAGTTCTATTTAAGATTGGCCTCAACTATGAAAATCCATATATAAATCCTTACCAAGAATTTCAACGTTTTAAAACTCATCCAAAAATTCGATCGATATTTGAAAATGGAAAACGTGTTAGTTACGGTGCTCGTGCATTAAATGAAGGTGGTTTTCAGGTAGGCAGAAAAATTTACTGTTTTCGTAAATCTTCTTTTCTACTCCGTTTTTTTCCATAAGGCTATTCCGAAACTATCATTTCCTGGTGGTTGTTTAATCGGATGTAGCGCAGGCTTTTTAAATACGCCGAAAATAAAAGGTGCTCATACTGCTATGAAATCAGGAATGATTGCTGCAGAAAGTATTTTTAAATTACTATCAAAACCAGCAAAGGAACACACGAGGAAAGGTAATTACAAATGTTCTAGTTGATAGTTCAGCTTTGGCGTAACGGAGCGATCAGTAGAGTTTTTCGTAGCACTCAGAACTTCGATTTTGAATACACACAGAAGCCAGATATAAACGAACAAGTTGATTTTACAGCAACCGAGTCATTTGTCCCATCTTCAAGATTAAATTGTATATTTAATATTCATCAAAAGTTTTATACCTGTGAATACCGCTGACATAGTTTAGTGCCCACATTTTATACTATTAGAGTAATTCTCTTGAAGCAACACATAGTAAACAAGAGCCTGATAATGAGTGGACACATATTCCTATACAGAGAGATAGCAGTAATACCGAGGTTTATGTTTTTCCGCCAACATGTAAACTGCGCAAGCTATCACTGCCTTAATGGCCAATGATTAGAAAACAAAAAAGTAAGGAACAAGACAAATGATATGTTCGAAATATCATGTATCGTTTTCCGGTTACTAATTTCTCTAAGTAAACAACTTAATTCCGCTTGAGATTTTTTATTTGAAATATTTTACATTAAGATTAAACCATGCATGAGTAAATTTCAAATGTATTACACACACGATAAATTTACTACCAAAACCAAAACTGTTGTCGCATTGTAAAAGGATGAGAGTCCGTAATAAAAACAAAAACAAAAATGCTTCTCTTCCGAATTCGTGATAAAAAACAAGATATGCATGGTAGACACCATCAATCATCACGGTGTAATGAAAGGAAAGAACACAGTTACGAAAGAGAAGAAAAAACTTGTTTATCATGAAACAACGGAAAACTAATAAACTAAATATATCATATGATTGATCTTGAATCGCCTGCGATGCGGAAACAGTTCGAAAAAAATGAAATAACGATTTGTTTAGTTTTATTTTTCACGTTGCTATTCAAGGTCTAGAACCAAGTGACTACGAACTTCGAATAAAAAATAGTTGGCTTTGGGAAGAATTATACAATGTACGCAACTTCCGTCCTTCATTCGCTACACCATTAGGCATATTCGGCGGTATTATTTACACAGCACTTTATTTTTTTCCATTTCGTGGCCGCGAACCATTTACACTTCGAAATCGAAGTAATTAGGTTTTACGGATTTCTATAACTTCAATCAACATTATTTATTTGCGTAGAATCTGATCATGCTACTTTGAAAAAAGCAAAAGATTGTACGCCTATACAATATCCAAAACCAGATAATAAAATATCGTTTGATCTGCTATCGAGTGTTGCATTAACAAATACAAATCATGATCATGACCAACCTTCACATTTGACTTTAAAGAATGATAGTATTCCAACATCTATTAATCTACGTGTTTACGATGGACCTGAACAACGTTATTGTCCAGCCGGTAGAGAATTGAAATTTTTCTAATCGCTGTAGTCTTTTGGGTTTTGAATTTAGGTGTTTATGAATTTGTAGAAAATGAATTTGGCGAACGGGAATTACAAATAAATGCTCAGAATTGTATTCATTGTAAAACCTGTGACATCAAAGATCCACAACAAAATATTAATTGGGTAACACCGCAAGGTGGTGAAGGCCCGGCTTATAACGGCATGTGAAAAAATGTATTGTTTTGTGAATTTTTAAATATTTAAAGAATTTTTGTTACTTTATTTATATAATAAAAACATTTTCTTAGGATATCTTTTCTGTTTTATTTTGAATTTCTCCAGCCTTACCTTTGAAATTTATCTAATACCATTGCGCTCCAATAGGGAATGATCGGCTTATTTTTATTTCGCTTTCCGGAGCTGCGTAGTCGTAGAATCTTTGCATTAGCGCCTTAAGTTTCAACAGTTTAGAAGTCTATTTACGCGTAACTTCCGATTTCGAAGTGTTCATTTGACTATGATAAGAAATCATAATGAAAATAGCAGACTGTTTTGAAGCGAAAACCAACCCGCTCGTTAAATGTCAACATTCTCCTGTAATATGACAACATAAGTACGGGTGAGTGTTCGATAAAAGTTGCCTGTACGGAGAGAAAACAACTATGACAGGAACAAAAGATAGGTATTGTCTATCAAAATGATAAGTCGTTGTAGGGAAATACTTTGTGTATGTCGTGATGTAACGCAAATTTGACACAAAAAAATATTATTAGTTTTATAGTTACTCATTTGATGACTCTTCGATGTTAATATAAAGGGAAAAGAAAACGTAACACATACGCCATCAGTATAATATTCACATTACCATATGTGTTTCACTGTTTCTACATTCTCTAATGAAAAACTGCGCACAATAACTAGTTATTTTTTGATGGCAATTTATTTGCATTAGAAAACGTTTTAAAGCTATTTCTCGAAGGCCATAGTGTATTTTGAAAAACGCAAATCTCGCGTTGTCTCATCGATAAACGTTGTGAGAAAGATTTATGCTCGTAATCTTTTATTGGAAGAAAAAATTCTTCTAATTCATATTTGTAATCGATGCTATCGTTAATACTTTAAGTCTAATATCATCGCTGCTAATAAATCAGAAGAACAAAACATAAAACTTCGGTGTACATAAAAGTCACAAGTATACTTCATTAATTCATAAAATCGTACATCAACCTGTACGACTATAAAAAAAAATAAAGAAAAGGAAGAGAACAGCGACTTGTTTCTTTTTTTTGCACTGAAAAATAGCAACATGTGACCTTATCGTCAGTAAACAAAAATCATTTTAGTTGTTTTTGGTGACGAATATTGCCGTAAAGCGATCGAAAGCAACGAATACTTTCTTGTAATTTCATTTTGTCTGTGCATTCGAAAAATTGAACGATCAGAAATCAATATCTTTTATCAGTTCTTTATTAAAAATGCTTAACGTGTTCTCGAAAATAAAGTGCGTGTTTTATTTTAGAAATATAGTATTACTATTTTAAATTTTCTTTTTATATTAGTTCTTATTTTAAAAAGCATAAGACTTCAACGATGTCGGAAAAAACATCAATACCGAATTCAAATCAGCCGCCGCCACATCATACACCTGCGACGACTGCTACAGGAGCGCAATCACCAACGCTGGTAGCTCTAGCAGCAACCCAATTACTATCTCCGTCAACGTCAGCAGCAACAGAACCAGTAACACCACCAGCGAATTCAATAATAATTCCAATAACTACAGCGACTATCCCTTCGCCACTTCCAGCAGCTTCAACAAATACATCAACTGCACCCTTACCATTCCTGTCAACTCCAACAACTGCATCGACAAATTCTTTAGTATCTCCAACAGCTCCAGCAACTTCAATAACATCCGATGATAGCAATTTATTCTCACATACGTATGAGTGCGCAAAAAACAACTACAGTTGGCATAAAGTAACAGCAGCTCTAGAAGTTCATCCAGAATGGCTAACAAAAATACCACAAGGTTCATTTTTATAAGCCGAGAGAAAAGAAAAATAAACTTTAACTTTCTTTAATAAAGGTCGACGTTGGACAATTCTACATCAAATAGTTTATTTTGGTAATATTGCGCACTTAAATGAAGCTCTTGCGTATCAAATTTTGCATGACGACTTTCGTCTTCTGTGTAAAACATCGGACGATAAAACCGTTCGAGAAGTTGCTACTGAACGTGCACATGTAAATCCACAAATGTTGCGTCGTATTGAACGGCTTGTTGCTATTGACCAATTACTAAATAATGCTCGAGATGGTAAATGGGGATTGGTTAAACAATTTCTTCGTCAACAACCGGATATTATCAATGAAAAACCGCCGTATAGAAAATTTTATCTGGCCCATTTTCTTGCATCAACGGGTCAACTTGATATATTTAAAGATTTAATGACTATATCCCATTTTAAACTTGATTTAATTGCGGAAGGTAAAACAATAAATCAAATAGCACGTGATAATAATCACATTGAATTTGCTGAATTTATTGAACACCTTCCTTCTCAAACTAGCGATACAGATGACGAGGATAGTCCTGGCGGAGCAACAGGATACGATTCCGATTCACCAAATTCAACGCCTGTAGCAACTTTTAGTCAAGGATTTTATGATGAACCGGGCATTACGATATTTTCAGTACCTTCAAATTCATTAGCAAATATGCTGCCAACGCAAAATGGATCATTACCATATCCTAGTCATTATCCTCATTTTCCTCATTCGCCAAGTGATTTCGGGCATTCAGGACATAGTTTATTTTCGACTCAAATGCCAACCACTGTGACAGTGATGTCAATTGACGGTCATCAAAATCTGGCATACGAAGAACATTCACATGAAAATCATGAAAAATCAGAATCATCCACAGCATCAACAATGAGCGAAGCAGAACAACAAGATTACGAAAAAACAGTTATGGAAAATATTAAAAAATTTTCCTCGCAAAATTTACTTAGTGCTGTCACATGTTGTATTACCAAATGTATTCTCAAAGATCCAGGTAATCGATTGTATATGATTCTATAAACATTTATGATCAATACATTGTATTAAAAATCATGAATCGATTGAATATTTAGATCTGTGAAGAATCAAGTTTTCTTTTTTCAGGTTCCCACAGAAAAAAAAACATACTAGCACATTGTTTAAGGCAGTTCTCTAGTGAATTGTATTTTGACTATTGATTTACCGGGTAAATTTTAACTTCAGTGTCGATTAGCATTGGAAGAATTCAAATTTCCTATAATTCAACTCAGGCGGTTTAAAATAATTGATCGTTGGTTTATTTCAATAGTTCGTAATAGAGATAGAAATTATAGGATGTTTTCCTTATGTATCATTAAAAACAAACAATTCGTGAGTCATATCTCTCTTTCAATTGCTACACTAATCACTGAGAAGACATTTTCTGATAATTAAATGGTCCACTGCACATTTTCTCCTCGTCTTGCTATGCGTGAGCAGGCAGCATTTTGTTCTTTTTGTAGAACTGCAAACTTTATATTACGCATTTTGCTCTTGAGATACAGTCATGTTTGATTGATTGCATAATTACGTTGTTCCTTTCCGCGCCATTACGTATGATATATAGGAAGCAATCATAGATGTCTCTCGTGATTGAGAATATATTGGTCTCGCTATTGTTAATGTGATATCAAATAATGAGTTCTAACTTAATAAGATACCAGTCTAGTCGGACCGGTATGGCCTACTAAGAAATTTATTTAATACTGTTTGTTTTGCATTTCCACACAGAAACTATAGACGAGATTACATAGTTTTTAGAAAACAAGTTTGAATAGCAGATTGATTGCGAGGGAAAATTAAATGTATAACAGTAAATTAAAAATTTGTATTCTATAGTTTTGGCGGCTGATGGATTCACCTATGAACGTGAAGCGATTGCTAATTGGTTTAAAACTTCTAATCGTAGTCCGATGACGAATCAGGAACTTGAAAATAAAGAATTAAAAACAAATCACGCTATCAAATCAATTTTACAAACGCTCTGTGATGTAAAAAAGGAAGAGAAAAATGTTTAATCGAAAATTAAAACTCAACCCTGATACTGCGCGTTTGTCTATCGTATTCGATTTGAATTCCTTTTATTTTCTAATTCTGTTGTTACAATAATAATAATATAGACTATTCATCAATAGATGAAGCAATATTCAGTTTTTTGCCTAAATAATTTGATTATATATGCCCTAAATTAATTTGTCTTCAGATAATATAAATTAATCATGGATGAGGAGTTCTCACTCGACGAGATAATTTCATATGCGAGAGACTTTCAAAATTTCGAGAAGGTTTTCTCGGCAGTCTATCTTCATCCGGATTGGTTAACAACCATTCCATCAACTCGAAGATGGGCGATTCTTCATCATATCGTACTGTCTGGTAATACTGTGCATTTCGATCAAATCCTTCCATCACAAAAGTCAAATGTGCAATTTCGTTTATTAACTAAAACAGCTGATCAAGAAACTGTACTTGACATTGCTAAATCACATGTTTATCTATCGGATATGCTAAAACGAATCGAGCGATTGATTAAACTTGATGAACTACTTAATTACGCTAGAGAAGGTAAATGGGATCAATGCATTGAGATCGTAAAACAAGATCCAAGTTATGGTAATGAGAAACCACCTTATCGACGATTTTATCTGATTCATCATCTAGCCTATTGGAATGCAGTCGAGCCGTTCAAAGAATTCTTGAAAATCGAAAACTTTCATTTTGCTCTACTTCTACGAGTTGACGGTAAAAAAGTCAATGATATTGCTCGAGAAGCTAACTGTGAGGCATTCGCTAATTTTATTGAGAAAGAGTACACAGCGTATTTTGATGATGACGATGACAATGACATTTTATATGAACCATCAGCAGCACAGAACATGTTAAATCAGCATGATGCAAATATTATCATAGTACCACATACTATATACAACGAACCTCAGTCATCATCTGCACCAGCAAAGAAACTTCTGAATCGAGCGGAAGTCAACAAGTTAGTACCAAGAAAGGCAAAACCAATAAACATTTCAAACATACCTACGCGATATTCATCGAAGACGATACTCAATTTGCTTACATGTTCGCTTACACGTGCTACTGTTACCGATCCTGGTAAGTAACATAATCATTTCGATGATAAACATATTCGATAAAACTTAGCCAAGAGACATGCTACGCACGACCACATTTTTTCGGTCCCGATGATTCTAAATTTTCAACTGTTGATCTTTGTTGAAAGAAAAATGTTGCGAAATTTCTCCGTCTCGCCTAAAACTGTAATTCAGGTCTACTGCATCGTACTTCGGGGTGCGCGAGTCTCGCTTTCATCCTCTTGGCGGGGCCGGTTTCGTACATCTATAACTGAGTCAGATGATGTTGACTCACAAACATGTGTCCTTAACGCTAGAATATGACTTTATCAGAGACTCTCGTTTCTTGAGAAATAGGAATTCTTTGCATTTTGAAAAACAAATCAGAGAGAATAATAATAATTATGAATAAGAAGATCTAGAAAAAAAATGATGTACACTCGTTTTTTAATATCATTATAGGATTTTCTTCTTGTAGTTGTTGCTGCCGATGGATTTACATATGAACGTACCGCGATTGAAAATTGGCTTAAAGCAAATGATTGTTCGCCAATGACGAATGAAAAGCTAGCTCATAAAGATTTAACTCCGAATGTATTAGTTAAAAGGCTTTTAGATACTCTTACTCAATAACCATTTTAGCTGTAGAAACATGATTAGTGAGTAAACTACAGAAATGATTCGTTTTAATTTTTGTATCCTATCTGTGATATGAATTTCAAATGACAGAATGATAACTTTTTAAAGATTCATCGAAAAGTGTGCATTTTGATATTTTTTTAGATAATCATCCAGTTTACTGTTTTTTTATCTTTTACTATTAAACTGGTACGATGGAATAATGTCTCAAAATTGGCTTGTTTCAGATAGATTAATAAACATGAGGCGTGAGAGTTGGTTGAACAAAATTATTTTACATTCAGGTGACACGTAAACTCGACTATGCATAAAATAGTTTGGAATAAATGAAAAAGCTTTTCACGCCGCATTTTTTTATCGATGATAAACAAGTGTTCAATTCCTTGTTGACATTCGACGCCCACATGCAATGACATAAAACATATTTACTTATGCATATAATCGATCGATCGGTTTATGTTTGATCAAATCTCTATAATGATACGCGCGTGAGTATGGATCTTCTATTCTTTGTCGTGTACATTGCCATAGACTGCAATCATGAATTGATGCTAACGAAAAGTTCTGTTGCCTTTTGTCTATATGCATTGCTTTGAATTTTTCAATAAAAGTTATCTTGACTGTTCTCTTGTTTATTGAATATTAAATTCATTTAAATATTCATCAGATATCTTAAATTTATTGATTAGACAAAGAAAAACTCCCACGAAAGTGGAAATTTATGATCCGGAATGTATTTAATACATCCTACACGTGAAAGATGATATTCTAATAATTAAATTATAGTTTGTTGTTAATTCAATAGAGAGAGAAACTGATAGGTTATAAATATGCATTTATTAGTCAGTATTAAACAGAAATGGAATGAGTAAAGCAAACAAACAATTTTATTAAAATTACCAATGTTTCGCCAACAGGCGTTGCGCAAAGCTTTTTTCGAGAAAATCGTACAGAAAAAAAAACTGAAAAATTTTGCTTATAGGATGGAACGCTATAGCCACACACACACACACACCGGCTTCCGCAGGCCCTGCCTATCAAGGAGGAACTACAAAGAAAAAACAGCGTCGGCAGCATTTGACGATCGATAGGAGTGGCATTTTTCCTTTTTTCGTCTTCTAGAAGATAGAGTAATGTTTCTTGTTTAGGTCCATTTTAAAAAATTAGGAAAAACCGAAAAGAAAGCCGAAAGACTGCAAAAGAAAGCGAAAAGAAAGTTGCATTTATTTGTTTTTCAAGAATTTTGGCCTTGCTGACGGGGAAATTCTGTACAGACTTTCTCTTTTAAACTGACCCGTAATAGTTACACAGAAAAAATAAAAAGTGATTGAATTCCGGGTAGATCGATAAGCTAATTTTAACTTTTAATAAGAATAAAGCACTGATACTACTAAGGTACCGAAAATGCAAAGTTACACTAGAATTTTATTTTTCGATTTTTTATATATGGCTAGATAGAGTGTGTCGAGTTGATCCAGAATATATCTTTTAATTGTTTTGTCGAATGTGCTTTTAGTGAAAAATTTTCAATTTTTCAGATGACCTACGGTTTCTCCTAAGAAAATGATTTGATGACTGGCGAATTTTCAACTTTTTCCATTTGTTTTGAATTTAATACAGTTTTTTTTATATTCAGTATAAAAAAACTGCTATTTTGATATCACATGATCATAACTCAAGTACCACAAGACAGGGACATAGCCAGAAGGTGGGTTCTGGGAATCAATCCACCCACCCGGGAAGATTCCAATATCTAGGGGCGGGGAGTCAAACGTATGCATTTTCACATTCCAAAAGAGGCCTTCTTCCTATGGCGTCCCCGCCTCCTAAGAAATTCTGACCCCTTCACACGTGTGGTACCTGAATCATGATCATGCCATATCAGTAAGACCTCATAAATGACTATCATAGAATCCTTTTTTATGCTGAATATAAAACAAACTGTATAAAATTTAGAACAAATGAAAAAAGTTGAAAATTAGCCTATTGATCTATCAGGAACTGAATTATTTTTCTGTGGAAATATCACGGGTCAATTTGAAAGAGTAAGTTTGTACAGAATTATCGCATCAGCAAGAGCAAAATCCTTGAAAAACAAATAAATGCAACTTTCTTTTCCCTTTTTTTCGACTTTTCCTAATTTTTTAAAATGGACCTAAACAAGAAACATAATTCTATCTTGTGGAAGACGAAAAAGGAAAAGAAGGTTTCTAACTTTCCTTTCCTTTCTTTTTTTGAAATGAAAGTTGAAAGTCACAAAGCTTTCGTTTCCAAAAAGAAAGGAAAGTGCCATCCCTAACGATCGATCTTCAACGAACTGTACTTATTTTTCAAAAGTAAAAGCAGTGAATCGAATTCTTGATTTTCAACTAACTTCTCACTAAAATCAATCGATATAAACCTCAATTTCAAGCAATTATCGAAAAGAAGTCAAAAATACTTCAGTTCCAAAATATCACAACATAATCGTCAATCAGTGTGTATCATCAATAAAACTGACATTCTTCTATTTACGCTTTAACTAAAAACAATTCACTTTTCTTTATATTCTAGATTTATAATAGAAATAAAACGAACATCATGTCATCCGGTGTTAATCGTGCTGCCGAAACGTTTTCACCACTTGAAGAAGTCACTAAAGCTGCACGCGAAAATGTTGACTGGGACAAAGTTTATCAGCATATTCTTTTGAACCCTAGAGATCTTTTTGTTATATTACCTGGCCGCCGATGGTCTATCGCTCATCAAACTGTTCTTCATGGTGACGTTGCTCGTTTCAAACGTTTTATTGTACTTTTTTCTCATGACGAAGTTGACATTCGTATCAAAACAAAGGATAATAAGACTTTTCTCGATATTGCCACGTCAAAAAAACAAGCCCATCCACAAATGTACACGTACATTGAGCATTTATTTATGCAAGATGATTTAATGAAAAAAGCAAAAGAATGTGATTGGCGTTCTGTGATAGAAATACTTGAACAACGAAAACAGTTAGCGAACGAAAAACCTCCATATTCGCCTTATTTTCTTTTACATTATGCTGTCGAAAATGGCAATCTACATATTTTAGAAGAACTACTTACTAATTATCAATGTTTCACAAATGTACGTAATAGTCAAAACGAAACGCCTTTAGAGATGGCTAAAAGACTTAATAAAAACGATATCTGTGCTTTACTCGAACGAAAAACAGCTACAGGACAACCTGCTCATTCACCGGCGGCACCATCACAAGTCAAATTACATAACACATATCAACAATCTGCAAGTACTTCACCGGATCTAGCGGAAAATTCATCGGCGGCATTTCAACCGCTACCTTCACCCCCGGCAGCTACTCGTCCCAATCCAACGCTTATTGGTTTAGATAATATTCGAAAAAGTATTGATGCATTGTCGCAAAGTGAACAGAACCTTACGAATTTATGCGACACTCAACCACTAGTTTCATCTCAGAAACCAAATCCTCCGCCTAGTCGATCGAAGAAATCGATTGTTCGAGATTGTTCTCCAAGCGACTTCAATCCAATCCCACCTGTTGTTATGTCAACTTCAGAAAATTTGAAACCTCCTTCATCTGACGTAAAATCAACATCGTTATGCCCCAAAGCAGATTCGTCGAATGAACAATTGATGAAAAAGTTGAAATGCCCCATAACAGGACAAATAATGAAGCATCCAGTTATTGCTAGTGATGGTAATACATATGAACGAGCAAATATTATTAACTGGATTAATACATATGGTCATTCGCCGGAAACTGGTGAACCGATGGAAGCAACATTTAAGGATGATGATGAGATTAAGAAAATTTTACATACAAAGCTCGAAAGCAACTGAAATCTAAAATTTCAAAAATCTGACGGCAACAGATTAAAAATATTTTATTTTATTTATCTAAATCTGTATTAGAAAAAAAAAGTTGACTCTTCATTTCAGATCACTTTACATCGAAATCGCACATTATTTCAATCACTTTTCCATCAATTCATGTGATACATCATTTATGTTTTTTAAACTTATTAATTCAATTGTTAACTTGAGGAAAAGGGAAATTTATTACTAAATGTAATACTTCGTATCAATAAATATATATATATATATATATATATATATACAAATGGGACGAAGTCATAACAATTTCATGGGTTTCAGTCCGCGATAGAAAAAGGCAAAAGAATATTTTTTTGTATCTGTTTTTCAGCCGAAAATCGATTACTGATTTTTACAGTTGCCTAACAGTGATCGTGTTTGTAAACGCATAACATTGGTACTAAATCGCCTATGCTACAGATCATCTGATTGTTAAATTTGACGAGATTTCGAAGTCCTTTATGAAATGAATCTGAGGATTTTACATTTCCTTCGGTAACCAATAGCAATCGATCCATACGGAAACAAATATTCAATTTCCTATGAGCAAATTTTCGACTGTGTACTGTTAACTTTTTCAAGTAGTACTCATTTGTTGCAATTAAAGAATAACTCTAGGCTTCCGGTGCTAAACTTAAAAAATAAATCGAGAAAACAGACCAACTTTAGCGTCTTTCTGAACAAAATTCGTTTTATAATTGATGAGATCTTGTAAAAACATGTGTAACGATACTCCTCAATAGTTTCTCAAAAACACAATGATAACTAGATGAGCCCATCAAATCATAGCCTGGAGTTTTTCTTTTTATAATCACAAAAACAATGAATGACTTCAACAACTCTAGCTCAATTTAATGGCACAAACTGCTCATTTTTATTAAACAAAGATTTTGTTATTTTTGAATTTTATCGAACAAAATAAAACACAAATAAATTTACAAATTTCTATCTTTTCTTTTCTTTTCTTTTTTTTTAATACTGATAATAACAATCGTACGGAGTTGGCGGTAGCCAAGGCCAATTTGTTGGCTGTGTTGAAGACAATTGAGCGCAAGGATACGCTTGTTGTTGCTGTTCTTGTTCTTGTTGTTGTAGTGAAAGTGCTCGCTGTTCAAACTGATCAGCTACATGAATTTTTCTCGGTTCATTCAAAAACGTTGAATTCTGTTGTGCTTGTGTTCGTATAAGATAACGTTTTGCACGTTTCGGATGTGTGTTCTGTGTTCGATTGCGTTTATTAGAAAACCAAGCTTTTACTTGAGATTCTTTAATGCCACCATTCGTTGCAAGATAATCCAAATCGTTACGATTGGGATACGGATTATCTTCGTGTTCGACAAACCATTCGTTCATTAAACGAATAGCCTTTTCTGGTAGCTGTTTACTGGGTTTTGCTTGTGGACGTTGTGCTCGATTTACATTGCTGTTATTATCGGCAACGGTCATTTCATTCTAAATAGAAAGATATTAATTCAAATTATTTCACAGCAATGGTGAAAATTGCACTCGCATTTTGAATATTTCATTTTTGTGTACTCAAAAAAAAAGTGAGTACACTCTGGATTCGGTCAGTTGTCCGCCCGTTAACACGATAACCTTTGAAAGCCTCATCCAATTGTCTTGAAATTTTGTACACAGAATAATCTCATCAATATCTCAGTCGAGTTCGAAGATGAGAAGGATCCGTTAAGAAATGGCTGAGTTATCGAAAAAATTATCAGTATTGACCAGACCATCCCTGAGGAGGGAGGGGGGTACAGGGATTTTTTCAAAAAAAATTGTTTTCTTAGAATTATTCACAACATATATAAATCGCCTCAGTCTTTACAGTACACATAGCAATCGGATGCGAATCCGATGTTTCCTCATTTATTTTATCGTATGATATGGAATTTAGAGAGAAGAGAACCGTCGATATTTGCAATAAAATTATAATTCCGATCTCAATGAATCGGCTATTTCCCCATTTTGAGAAATTCTCTTACCCTTACTTCGTTTAAGATTTGTTCATCATAGTAGGACGTAAAAATCATGATTGAGTTCGTTGAATATTCTGCTTCAGTTAACGAATGAAATATTCATTTATATTCTTACCTATATAAACGAAGCTCGAGTGATGCGTCTATTTATTTTCTCTCTCTCTCCAATCAAAATGATTAACGATGGTGACGAAATTGTTAGCCGTGCACCATGTTAATTGCTAGCGAGCGATAATGAACTATGGAACTGATCGACATTTTTTCTCTTCCCTTAAACTAAACAATTAGATAATTGAACGTTAAAATTTTCTCGTGAAGAAATATTCTATTCGTTATTTTGTTTCTTCCTTGTTTTAGATATGGCAAAAACTAATTTTCCAGATTGGAGTAATATTCGAGATCATTATGAAACGTTACATAATTTACAACACGAACAATTAATTGCCTTACGTAAAGAAAATCACGGATTACGCTTAAAACTAGCGCATGACAACGAGAGAAAACTAATTAAGAAAAAAGAATACGAAGAAAAATTAGAAAAACTTCAAATACTCGCTAATGATGCAAGTGTTCGATTAAATGAAGGTAGTGAATTAATTAGAAAATTACAAAGACATTTAAAAATTTCTCAAGAGAAAGTAATTTACTCTCGACCGATAAACAAACATTGATTTCTTTTTTTTTTTGTAGCTATCGGATAAAACAAAATCATTATTAGAACAAGATGACACACTACGTCATTATCAATCACATAATACTCAGCTCAATGATAAAATAAATCAATTAACAGATGAAAAGAAACAGCTAATTGATGAATATACGATACAAAAATTACAATTCTCATTAAATGTGAGTGTTGATATGAGATAATAATCATATTCAAATTGTATCTAAAATTTAATGTGAATCATAGTCGAATATTTTTTTCCATCTGTTAAAATAATTAAAGATTCTCTTCAATATGATTCAAAGTATCGTCTTGATGGGAAAAGGCGATGTCATGAAATTCTGTCCTTGATAAATTATATATGTATATATATTTGACAAGAACGGAAATGAGAATACATTCGAGTGTTGTTTTTTGAAGAGACAAATGAAATTTACTTTCTTATTATTTTTTTCTAAATATCCCATTAAACCATTAAAAATATGCTCGTATGGCTTTTATTTTATGAAGAAAAAAATAGAATAAAAGAAGCTTTTGTATCTATTTGAATATAAATATCTATTCATATTAATTTCTTTTTTTATTTAAAGATTCTATTCTCTAGAAATTCAGAATACTTGATGATATGCTCGCAGTCATGTTAACTTGGCATTTTTTTTTCTTCAGCTTAATGATAATCAAAAAGTTGATGTTGCTGTACAAACTTCACCGGCATTATCAATCCAACGTCGTAGCGTTCGATTTAATTTAGACAAAGAAAAGTTCGTAAAATTTTCGAAAAATGTTTTTATATTTTTGTTTTTACATTTTAAGTTGCTCAATTGATCCAAAATATTTTCCATCGACAATTCTAGTAAATAATCAATCAAAATAAAAGTTATCTAGTCATGTCCTCTTTTTCGAATGAACACGTATATTTCGAAGTCAGAGATATGGTTGTGTTTCTTTTGTTATATTGAAAGAATAATAAATAAATGCATATCGATGAAAATTCTTGGCTAAAGATATAAATAGATCTTAGATATTTTCTCAATAATTGCAAATCAAACTATCATAATTAATATCGCTTGATTTGTTTTCCCAATACTATTTATCATATAACATCGATCGAAATCGTATTTCCTATTGAATAACTTTAATTATTTTACAGTTAATTAGCGTTATTTTTCGTTGAAATGCAATTCTTTCGAGCTAACTACTAGTATCTTATGCCAAAATAAGAAAACAAGAAATGCGTGTTAGCAAGATCATTTATAATTATTTTTTTCAAAGTCTTGCACAACATCAGCTCAATTTAATTCTACAAGCATAGGAGCTTAGATTTCGATGTTCTGTAGTCAAAACTAATTGTTTTCTAATAATAAAAGTACTTGATGAGGTCGACCTGACATTCCTCAACATGATAAGACAAGTCTACCAGAAAATAAAATTTTCAAAGTCAAATATCATACAAAATATGATGTTTCTATTTACATAATTCTTATTTTTCTTGCCTATTACCCAAACGGAAATTTTCAATATAAGAAGAGAAAAAGCAACAAGTACTAGTCAATCAAGAGACAAAACAAATCTTTATATTATCAAATAAACAATCATCTTCATTGACATATAATAAACATTTTATGGTCTAGATTTAATGGTTGATTACATTTGTCAGAACTCTTTGTTTTTTTCATATTTAGGTTTAAGAGGTAATAGTAACGAAAACAATCGTCCGTAAGAAGAAATTATTTTCTCATCATATTTGAACATTACTTCGATTGACCTCAATGAATCAAATCGTAAAAGAATTATCTATCATATTTTTCTTTTTTTTTCTTGTATGCTGTCCCAAAATTTGGTTTTTGACAATAGAAGTCAACACAGTGATGTAGAAAAGAAAGAACGAAAGAAAGAAAAAGAAGAACAACAATCAGCTATACAAAAAAAACAAGAAAGAACATGAATGCCATCAATCTAAGATCTTTCAAGATATCGTTTTTTCCGTTTTTAAGCAACAAACAAACACATACATGCAGCATTCAATGTCACTGTTTGTTTAAATGCAGACGGAGACGACTAAGAAGAAGAAGAAGAGAAGAAGAAAAATGCGCATACACATACATACACAACAAAAGACAAGAGAGATTGATAGATAGATAGATAGATAGAGAGAGAGAGAGAGAGAGAGAGAGTAAAGACGAGATGAATTCATCACAGTTGAGAGACGGGGAATCGAATGTCGCGCGCGCATTAAAAAATTATGTCTAGGCAATGACGAAATATTTTGTAGAAAAATATACATATACAGAAATATTTTGATTCAATCGCGGCGATGATAAAGTGGGCATCTGTTTTGATTTTCTTATTGGTAGAAATAAGACTTCGTTTGGGTTCAACGTCGTCAGCGCTTGTACACGCGGCAATGGTGCGTCCACACTGTGGAATGTGTCGTGAAGACAGAAAATATGTTTTAGGATAGAAGCAAAAGAAAGCAAGAAAGAAACTTCAAAACAATTTAAATCGAATATTCAGGAAACCGGGTTTAGTGATGTTGAAAGTCAAGTTTTAATATCTTCGTTCTGCAATAATCGCCGGTACATATGTGAATTGATAAAACGTGGATAAGAATCTCGATGCATTAGTGTATAAATTTGTAATTGGGCTTCATCGAATGTATGCGGAGATGGTTCAACCATATTTTTATTAATTACTTCGCGCACACGACTATCCAAACTTACCTAGAATAGCAAAAAAAAACGTTTTCATAAAAATATTGAAAAAAAAACGTTTTCGCGCTATTCTTACCTCTTTGGGAGATAATATGGATATATAATCTTCATAGATTAATCTTGCTTTTTCTTCTATAATATCAGGATTCTGTTCATTTTTTAGAGATTCGCAAGACATCCAAAATAGAAAGTTCTCTTCACTATATTCTGATCGAAGGAATTCTCGGAAATAATGACGGCCAGCTATGAAAAAGACAAAAGAATGCATTTGTTCTTTAATACAAAAAATATAAATCCAACATATCCGATTAGTTGGCTTGTTTATTTTAAATTCTCTGAGAAGATAAGACCGAATTTCGGTCAACTTTAGAATCATTAAGTTCCCTTCGACAATAGTAGAACAAGATATTTCGAAGAAGAAAAAAAATGACAGCAACCAATCCTTTTCTCTTCTTCTATTTTTTTGCTTCATTGTACTTACCGTGACACATCATTAACTTGTCAAATGAATCCGACCAACTTTTGACTTCGTCGAGTGACGGTCTAAATATGTCAAAGAAAATAATCAATTGTCTGTAATAACAAACAAAAAAAGGCATGCTTCTTACGGTTCTGCTAAATCAATGGGTTCAACAGGTTGGCGGCCTTCGTCGGAGCGCACGGTTAGACTAGACGAGAAAAAAACAAGCAATAAATCAATATATATTTAATAATTGATGTTTAGACGGACAAAGAAGAATGAAAATTTAAAAAAAGAAAAGAAAACGAAGACGAAGAACTTTCTATTCGCTGGTTACTTTTTTGGTCCTGATAATATTCGTCGAACATTTTCCGGAAAAACAAAGACAAGATGTTCGAGAACACTCCTTCCGATTCCACGTGTTGATCGATGATCATCGAATGATGTTGATTTATGTTTAATAGATAGAACGTTAGCGGCTGGTAGTGCTTCTCCGTTAGCACTACTTGTCGTTGTAATAAAATGTTTATTTGGTATTGACATAGCGGAGGCTGATGAAACTATATTTGCTTTTTCATTTATAATATTTATTTCACATGCCGTTGCCGTTGATGTTTTACGTGGCTGATGATTGTCTAATGAACTCGGAGGCATTATAGAAACGTTCGATAATGCAGATGCGGAATGAGATGTAGCTAGATTATTTGTTGTCGTAAAGACCACTGAAGATTTTTTTGTTGTCGATTGTGTAGGGCGAGAAGTCTTGCGTGGTCGAGACGACGACGAATCAGTATCACATGTAACGGATATCGCACTTAATGTAGCTGAATTTGAACGTTGTGATCGAGTTTTTTGTATAGCACTATTCTCTTTTCGAGTATTATTATTTCCATTAGCAATTTTAGCACGAGCCACGTGCTCAGGCACAACTTGAGTCATTTCTAAAGCTATAGTTGAACTATTGTTTGTTGTTATTTCAAACGATTCCGGCTGCCAATGATGTGGCCACGAGACCAGACTTGAAAAGTCATGATGAGGTGACAACAGCGATGATGATGGTGATGATGATGATGACGGCGGATGCCGCTCGGATTCCATGGCCCATCGTTGCCGTCGGCAAGGAAAAAGTTATTATTAATTCTTCTCTTTCTTCTTTCTATTTTTTAACGCGCGCGCACACTCGGCAATGTTGAGATGATGACGCTAGTAATAGTTAAAGCTCCACTACGATCATCATCCTCACTGCCACCGTCAGAAAACAACACAAAACGAGAGTGGCATGTTCTTTTTTTTCTCTCAGTTTTTTTTCTTGCTTAGTCTCTTGCCATCAACGAGACCATCACATCAAAGGCAGACACGGCGAACGAGAGACAAGCGTAGTCTCAGCCGCTTTTTTCTTGTGCTTGCACCGTCGTCCGTTTGCATTCCTCCTTGCTTACTAACATGATTTAACTAATGACAAGGCTGGAATGAGAAAAAAAGAAGTCGGCGACAAGACGACGACGACGACGATATTGAACACTTTTCCCGCTCTTTTTTTTCTTTTCTCTAACACAAGCGAAATACCATCATCAGAAGAAGAAGCAAAAAAAATAAAGAAAGAAAGGGTAGTTATATCCTTAATCCGATTAAGAATGGGTAAAAAAACGAGAGGAGAAGGAAAAGCGTTTCGTTTTCGGCCGACAAATTGATAGCTACATGACAAGAGAAAGAGAAAGGAGAAATCTGAGTGATAAAGAGGTCGCGATGTGTAGCAGCTTTATTATCAGATTATTGAGCATAGCGGCGAACCACTTTTACGTCGTTTCCCAATAGAAATACAATTAGAGTTTATACTCTATGATCAAGTGTGCATCTATGTTTGACTTTCGAAATAGAAAAAAAAATACAAACTAAAAAAAACCGTCGATCGACAACGACAACAACAACGATAACGAAAGTAAACTAACTGTTATTCTTATCCTTCCGAAACGGAAATGATATTTGACAAGCGTGGGTCTCCTCGCAGTTTTTTGTTTTCGCAATAAAAAAAACCTCGTACATGAGCAGCATCGAATAAAATATTTAAAGAAGAAAGAATAAAATCGAATAAAAAAGAAAGTACACATACTTTTGACGACGTCGTATGGAACCGAATGGGCGAAACTTGGAATTTTTAATCATGTTCTTTTCACATGCACATGCGCGCTATCAAACGCGCAAATTCACCAGGAGGACTGAAGAGGAGTAGGGGACCAATTTTTGTATGTATAAATATGATGCTGCTGTCTGTCAATATGTGATGATGAGGAGACCCACGTCTAAAGCAAGACAGATAGATAGAGAAGAAAAAAAAAACAAAGGCTATTATGTATAGATCCGAATAACATAGGTAGACAAACGAGACTAGCAGAAGAGATTAGGAACATTCTGCGCAGCGCAACATACAAGCATAAATATATACACGCATGCATTTTTATTATATATATATATATATATATAAATAGTGTGCACGATCAATCGAGGGTATTACTATTACGTTTATAATGGGATGGAAAAAAGCAACATATTTATTTTTTATTTTTTTTTATATATACATACCACGAACAGGAGCAACAGCAACACCAACAAAAACAACAGGCTTTTGAGGCTTGATCACTATGAGACGGAGACGAATTAAGTGGTTCTTGTTGATTTGCAGGTATATTTGAAGGCGTTGGTTGTTGGTGGCGTGATCGATTACTGTCGAAAATAGATGAATTTTCTTGATTCGATTGACGTGTGCTCATAATCTGTTAGTAACAAAAGAAGAAAAAAAACTAGAAGAGGATTTTTCTTTTTTCATTTCATAATTATTTTCTTTCAATTGTCATTTCTTACTTGACGCAAGCAATTCTTTTGCACGTCTTCGACTTGACCGACAAAACCCTCTATGAGCCGGAAAAGGATGTCGGCAGCTGAAAAAATCAGCACCGAATAGGGCGGTGAAGATAAATGAGTATAGCAGCGACAATGTTGTGCTGCTGATGCTGTTAATGAAGTACTTAATAATAAACTTGATGCGATTTTATTTTTCCTAAAACAAAACAAAAATTTATTTGAACTAAATGAAATAGAAGTCTCATCTAAACAACATAAAAAATAATAACTCCACACATATTGTAATCTTTTCTTTTTCTTTTTTAGTATATAGGATGAGAAGAGTGATCAACGTCATCATTATAGATCTCATATTCTTTCATAGGACCCTTCGTCTCTTTTTTTCCTCTTCGCTGTTCTTATGTGTCCAATGCGAGAAAATAGGACCTATGCATGGCCTCCTTTCAACTGAAGATGTTCACTTAGATGTATATAAATAAAACAAAAGCATTAAGAGAGGCATTTGGATGTAACCCTAACGACTTGCAAGTTTACTTCATTTTTAGATTAGTCCTTTTTCTTTTCCTTTTTTTTCTTCTCTTCTGCTTCTTCTTTCTAGCCATTTTAATCACGCACATATTTTCGAATCGCGTCATCTGCAAATGTACACACGCTTATAGGATATGAAGTGTAGATTTACTTTAATTTTAGACAAAAAAACAAAAACACGGTGTGATATTTCACATGAGATAATCGTTATATTTCTAACTTTTTTTTCTTTTTCTTAATGAAACCAAATCTAAATACTAATAATTAATCATTCCTAGATGTGATATAAATCCATTTATCTAGGATTTATTCACATAATAATGAAAACAAACAAAAAAATAAAGCAAAATTGATATCATACCTAATTGATGAGTACTTCAATGTTTGAGAGGTCTCTTTGTAGAAGGCGAACATAATACGACGATCGCCTTCGCTTATTGTTAGCGCTCATTGAGGCGTCTAGAAATAGAAGAATAAAATAGGCCTATTATCAAGGACTTTTTGTTTTTCTTTTCGTAAGCAAGGTTTCTTATTTTAGTAGATCTCTCTTTTAGTATATTAAATGGGGCATAGCTGGTGTATAAAGGGGAATAAGCAAGAGAAAAAAAATATATACGCATTTATAGAGTGAAAGAACTTCTTCTAACTAAGTACAGACGTGCTATTTTCTTATTGCAATTTCTAGTACGCATTCATATTTTACTGTCTCTTTGTCACAGTATTATTATTATCGTGACTTACCATGCAGTGAAAAAGAAAAGAAAAGAAACGTATAGACAGCGGTACAGGTTGATCTTGAATTTTTCAATGATTGAAAGCCGTATTGTTCTTTTTTTCTCTGTGCCGATATTTATCTATCTATAGAATTAAGACAATAGTCGACAGATACTGATCATCATCTAGAATAAGGAAAGGAATAAGATCTAATAATATAGAATGTGTATTAAATCAAATTTTCTAGCTCGGCCGTGTAAGAAGTCTTTTTAGATTCATATTACCTATATGTGCCTGCCAGGGATTAGTTAACAAGAAGAAGATGATGAAGATTCCTTGCACCATCATCATTTCTTGTTTGAGTACTAGCAATAGACATGAATAGAACAAACATACAGAGAAACGAGATAGAGGGAGAAAGATGAGAGTAGCTTGAAGGAACAAGAAAAAAAATAAGCGAAGATGATGACGATAGTGCGCTACTAACATCATCTCGTTCCAACCGAAAATCCTGGTAGTCAGTTAACAATTATCTCAAAGAGTAAAAAAAAATATATATATATATATATATATATAGACAGAGATGACTAGTATAAGAGTCCATTCATCAATCAGAAAGCGTAACAATTATCAGTGTCAGTATCGTTATTAGAAAACGACATCGACGAAAAGCCTATTTCGCGAATAACTGATATTTAAGCAGAAAAGAATTCTATTGATCATTTGACTTTCTAGAACTTAATTATTCTATTCATTAAATGTCAAATAATAAAAAAGAATTGCTTCGTTCGTTCTTTCTTTCTTTCTTTTTCTTAATTTTCTCCAGTTTCCTTTAGAAATGAGAATTACGTGTTTCTATGAAGTAACATACACACACATATATATATATATATATATGCATATATGCAAATTTCATTAGACATTTAAACAATAGTTGAATAAAAATTAATAAAAGTAAATTCTCTATTTTTTTCTATCTATAGTTCAAGTCGATAAATTAAGAAAATAGTTCTATCGATTTAATTTTGTTGTTTATCAATATCACCTATAAATATGATGTGACAAACATTTTCTATGTTACTTACTCGAATAATGTTCATTCTTTTTTCTTTCTTTTTCATAATACAAATGGGCAAGCAAGCGAATGCTAGAGAACGAGGAAAAGAAAGAACCGCGTAATTAGTAGGGAGGAGAGACTTGATTTCTTTGTTGTCTCCTATCGTTCCTTCTTTTCTTTTTCTCATTTTTTCTTTCTTTTCTTTCTTCAGTTTTTCAATCAGGCAAGATAGTCAGAGTGTAAAGAGCGTGATTTCACCTGTCGATGTTTCACAAAGAAGAAAAGGCAAAGAAAACTATCTAGTCGAACGACGATTCATCTGCGAGTTGGAAGAAGATGTACTGCTTGCAATTGCTAAAAAATGTAAAAGAAGAAACGGAAGATGCCCTACGTACATGTGTTCTTAGACAAGATAGAATTTATCTCAAACGTCACTATTATGAGTCTCCATCGAGCAGAAAATGTATTGACATGCAATGTCAAATTCATAAGACGAAAAGAAAGAACTTGAATGTAGTTTTATGAAATATTCAATAGACAATTTTTACATTGTTATTATTTACGATGAACTTACTGCAGTTATTTTTCTTAATTTCATATTCCTAAGTCAACACATAAATTAATATATACACGCACCCGCATGGTATTGATGGTGCACGAGATGGCAGCGTACTCTGATGGTGCTAACACAGAGAGTTACATGCAGGAGAAAGGAAGAAACAGAAAGAAAATATGCCAGTTCGATTATCATTCTATAGTATTCCTTTTTTTTCTCCCTTCATCAGCTCCTAGCTTTTGTTGTTGTTGTTTATGGTTTTGGCAATCGCTCTTGCTATTCTCTCGGTTGCTTTTTTTTTGCTTTTCCTGACTATACGTAAGTTATGCAAGGCATGAAAATCTCGCTCGTCGTCAGCGCCCATCTTACTATTCCTCTATCGGCATCGTAGTCGTCGTCGTTGGCGTTCTTCCTCTTTTGTTGCATGCAATGAAAATTGACATGAAAAATTAGAAATGACGGAGAAACGTCGAAGAAGACGACGACACAGCTTTTCTCTCCCCCTCCATATCGGCTCTCTCTCTCTCTCTCTATTGGTTTTTTTTCTCTTCTCCTCCAGCATTGTCTGTGTGCGGGAAAGCGCGCGCCGCTGTCCCCTAACGAAGGCTGACTCGAATAGTTACACTCACCCTAAAATAAAAATAAAAATAAAAGGAAAAAGGAAGAACGAGAGGAACAGAACAGAAGTCGACTGACGTTGCCTTGTCACTTTGAATAAAATGTGAGAAACAAACAAGATCTATAGCTCAATTTGTCTCGCACCCTGTTTTTTTCTTCTTTGATTGGTATGACTAGGCAAAAAAACCAAAAGAAAAATCCACATAGACCGTGTCCCAGCACATTCTTTTCTTCATTTAAGGTTTTAGTACGAAAGGAAACTGGCGATAGTTTGGTGCCGATGGGCGATCGAATGCACACAAGAGATACTGTAATCTGTTATTAGTTTTCCTTTTCATTTCCGGTCCAACATGCGTATATAAAAAATTCCAGCTGTGCTCCATACAGTACATACACACGCACACAAAGAAAACAAAAATATCATTCGTGTCTTCGTGAAACAATAGACTGTTCCCATATGAAATCAATTTTTTCATATCTTTGTTGTTTCGGCGGCGGAGTCTTCGTTGGTTTTGCTGTTAACGTTGGTCGATATTCTTTCAGTGCAGCTAATGATAGTGGTGGAAAAACTAGAAAGTAAACAATTCAAAGATGAGACCGATTCAAAAACAAAGCAAAAAAAAGGAAAATCCTACTTTCACGATGAATGTTTGTTGTATTTGATGTACTCGACTGAGCATTGTCTGTTGTGTTTTCAGCATCAAATAATGCTTCAATATTCTTTTGATGAATAAGAAATGAACCACGATTTTTTGATGATCGATGTGATGGTCTATTGAAACAGTCGAGTTCATTTGAATTTTTTAAAAATTTAATTCGATATTTTTTTTCTTTATGTTCAACGTGCACTGAATGTGGACGAGTCTTAGTTGGTTTAGTATCGGACATGTCCGCCTGTTTTGATGGATATTGATAATGAGTCTAGAAGAAAAAATTAAAAAAAAATGCTCTGCTTTCGAAAAATCTAATGAACAATTACGGTGTAGTGTTCGGGAAAAAATTTTTTTAAACTATAATTATCATTGATTTGTTGTAGACTTCGATGTGACGTTGCTGATTTTAATACATTTGCTCGTTGTTCATTTAATTTCGACGAATGAAATAATAAATGAGACTAAAGATATTTTACAAAATCAATTGTCTGCTTGCAGAATTTCTCGAGACACAAAATTACCTGCAGAGAATTTGTTGGCATGTCATGTGCCGATTCGAAATAACGCTTAGCTGAATCAATATCGGCACTATTTCGTACGAATTGTTCAAGTTCATCACGAGAATATTGTTGTTGACCAACTTGACCTCGAACAAAAGCTTGATATGAAGCCTAAAGACAAGACGATGTTTCATGCAAAGTATATTTTTACGAAAATAAAATCAAGCCGTGCATTTTAAGTAAAAGAACAAGCGATCTAACAATCTGCATACTTCAAGATCGGCTCGAGAGAGCGACTGCGTGGTGGTCTGATAATGTTCCAACGAACGCAGTCGCTGTAAACGTTCGTCTCGTGGTTCATAGTTAACTGAAAGATAAGGTTAAAGAATCAAGCAAGCCCAAGATTAAAATAAAAATAAATTATCAATCATATTAATACACGTTAAATATATATATATATATGTATACGTACTCTATTCTTTAAATTTATTCAAACAAGATCGGTGCCGATTAATTACATAGAAAATAAAATTTTCTTTTTGAAAATTCTAATCACATAAGCAGAATATATTTTCCCCAAACGATTTCTTTTTTATACATATATGCCAACAGAATCGAACGTATCTATCTATATATTAGCCCCGAGCCAAAACACGAGCAATGAATTTCTATTTTCATTCATGCAGAATTGAATATAGACTTTTATTACTACAAAATGGTCATTAATAAAGTTTCTTATATCATACGAGAAATCTTTCGTAAGATGTGTTTATTTTTTTTCCGATTCAACCAAAGTTCAAATTATTATTATTATCGAAGCGAAAAAGCAGGATATCCGTTCGTAATTCTGATAAATGATGCGGATACTGGTTAAATTAATCAGTACATACAAAAAAAATCTTTTTTTGCATCAATTTGAAGAACAACAAGATCTAATCTACATAAGATTAATTCAAATTTTGTATTGTTTATTAATAAGTATCAAGCAAATCGTATTTCAGTAGATGTCATCGAAAAAAAACATCTTTCTGACAAGCTCGATTCATCTTCTCAAGATTTAATTATAATAAAATTTCAGGATAATATCTTTAATTTATGTATACAATTGCTCTATTGGATTCATCTGATCTTTCATTGCTAATATTTAAATATACTCGTAATACCGACAAGCATCTGTTCATTTTGCCATTTAAGAATATAAATAAATTGTCTGTAACATATTTTAATTTACCTTGTGAGAGGAATGATTCACAGAATAAATTTTACGTTTATACTCAATTAAAATAAATATATACATTATGGAAATTGACGAATGCAAATGGTGAAACGCAAAAAATCTGCGAATCGATTTCGCAAAAAAAATCAAAAGATTTAAACATGTGTTGTGCGTAATAATTACAAGATAATCGGGAAAAAGCCCACTTATTACTCTTTTTTTATCATTCACTTCGTTTCCTACGGGTAAAGGTTGACAGATGCATTATTTGAAAAGCGAGCATCCGATTGTGTAAACTATTTTAAATGTTAGTCATGGAGTTAGTCGACTGTGAAATTTTGATCGTCATTGCGGGTGTATTCTAATAGAATCGGGGGTGTTCGGTTTATTTTGTATCATAATTAAAAATAAAACGATGGATCACATTTGGATCACCGGTTTCGTACAAGAAGTTTGTTTTTTGAAAAATAATGAATGCTAGCATTGAGAAATTTTCTGGATTATTTTGTCTCTGAAGGTAATTTGCTTAGAGCACTGATTTATAGGTTAATTACTTGTCAAAAAAAAAAGACAAGCCAGTCAGAACTTATCTTAGGGCTTTTGAGTTCTGCTGATATTTTTTATAATCATCGTCTGTGTCTTGCCGACATTTTGAAAATTGAATATTTTTATTCTCTCCGCGCTGTATCACGACAAATTAGAGAATCTATTAGAAATAAGAAGGTTTTTTGTCGAGAAGACCTGGTATAAAAAAAAAAGATTTCGCTAGGATTCTGAACGAGTAAGGTCAACTACATGCTAAATCCTGATAATATCCAGTAGTTTTCTTTCTATCGACAACATTTGTAGGTTGGCATTTGGCATGAAATTTCAAGGACGATATGACTCTGTGGATGTCATATATATAAATTCTAGTGTTGTAGGACTGAACATCGGTTATTCAATGGGGAGTGTTGAAAAAAAAAGCAATTATATAAAAAAATTGAAACCTTGAAGAGACAAATCATCTTTACACTTACATAAATTGATTTTAACATTTGAGAGATCGAATAAAGTACTATCTTCACAAACTGAAAGTTATGATATATTCTGTGAGTTCACTACTGTTACCATCGATAACAGTGCCGGATAGTTTCTGATGACTCTCACGTGTGTATGATATATGATGTATAAAATCTTCGATGTTTTCCTTTCGACAGAGCACTGTTTGAGATATTCAACTGATCTTTCTACTTACCAACTTCTAATTCATCAATGGTAACGCTTTGTTTTGTGTCACGTGTTTTTGGAGAAACAAAATCAATGGCTGTTTCATGATCAAATATGGTTGATAATTTTCTTAATAAATTTTGTTTGTCTTCAGACAGTTCTTTCTATTGAAAAAAAAACAAATATTTAAAACGATAAAACTATTAATATTCAATTACATCGATCACCGATTTATTTTCATTGATTGTCGACATATTTTTTTAATTACCTCAATTGACAAGCAAAATCAAAGACCATTCTTTTTAACATATCGTTTCTATCGCAACAAAAGGATTTTTTTTCAATTTAACGACATCTTCGATTTGATCAACCAATTCGAATTCAAGTTTACGGTTAACAAAGAACACCGGGAACAGAACAAAAGCCAAATATTTATACACAATATTCAGTCATTTTATAGCGACAATTTCACGTAGAGATATTGATGAAAAATTTCCAATGATACAATGGCATGTATACTTGAACGTTCTTCAACAAAAAATTGAAGATAAATAAATTAATGAATCAGATAAAATAATTGTAATTTACACAATGGAAAAGCAACAAGATGATTTAGAGTTGTACAAAAATTTTATTGATGAAAGTAAAAAGAAAACTTTGAAATTACTTATGAAATGTTCAGAAGGTAAAGTCAATTTTTACTGTCCAGACCTTCATCTATGCGAATAGCTCGTTATTCGGTCTAACGAAAGTCTCGGTTTCATGTGCAATAGAATATCAAATGACAATGACGGTTAGCTTTGAGAAAATACTAGACTACCAATATGAGAGTTAAAAATAACACTCGATCCTCGATTAAAGACATGGAATCATCTGTCAAACTCGAGTTCAATTGAAATTTTCAACTTTTAAACCAATAGCATTCTGAAGAATCGTGACTCACGCACATCATCGCTACTTTTCATCAATTCTTAAAATTGAATGTCAATGTGAAAAAGAAAATATTTCTCGAATATTAAATTTTCTACTGTCAAAAGTATGCACGCAGAGAAATTTCTCCATTTCAGATTATTTTAATTCAAATGGATATTGCTCAACAAGTACCACAGCATCCACGTGTACGTGATGTTCTCGCTGATCAATGTCAGCGATTATTTTTTGAATATCTCGAAAGGTAAATTAGTAAATTGGATAGAACAAAAAAAATGATATTATTCAAAATATTTAGCTTTGACGAAAACGAAAAGAAAACAATGATCGATGAATTAAGTCAACCGCAACGTTCAACTGTATTAATTAATTATCGACATCTATCAAATTTTAATGATCGTTTATCGCGAGTTATTCAAGATGATTACTATCGGTAAGGAAAGTAATAATTTAAAAAATTTTTGAAAATAACTTTTCTTAATAGACTTTTACCATCTTTATCACGTGGTCTTAAACAATTCTTTCGTGAACATATACCAAAAATTGATATTGAAGCTGAAAAACTTGAACGTTTCAAACGAACGGTTCTCAATGATAAAGAACTCTATGTAGCATTCAGCGATGTTCAAATGCGTTATAAGTATGTGTTATCGAAAGATATCCGAGCATAGGAACACAATACGTTTTATTTTAGGCTTCGAAATTTGAACACATCAAAAATGGGCATGTTGATTCGTATAACCGGACAAGTTATTCGAACGTATCCTGTTCATCCTGAATTAGTTTCGGCAACATTTATTTGTTCGGATTGTCAAATGGTTTGTCCTGATGTTGAACAACAATTTCGTTTTACACAACCATTAATGTGTCGAAATCCTGTTTGTAATAATCGTAGCCATTTTGCATTAGATTTAACACGTTCACGATTTGTTGATTTTCAAAAAGTGCGCATTCAAGAAAGTCAATCGGAATTACCGCATGGCAATATTCCACGTTGTCTTGACATAATTATGCGTAATGAATGTGTTGAACAAGCCAAACCAGGTGATCGTTGTGATTTCATTGGAACATTAATTGTCTTACCCGATGTTAGTCAATTATCAATGCCTGGTGTTCGTTCTGAAAGTGCACAACGTACACAAGGTGGTGACGATAAAGGCTATAGTGCTGAAGGTGTACGCGGCTTAAAAGCACTTGGTGTACGTGATCTAACATATCATCTAGCATTTCTTGCCTGTCATATAACACCAGCTGAACAAACAACGGTTGCAACATTATTAAGTTCGGATTCGAAAAAGAAACGTATCGAATCGATGATGTCAGATAAAAATCTTTTTGCTAATTTACGTACAAGTCTTTTCCCGACTATTTATGGCAATGATGAAATTAAATCTGGAATTTTATTGATGTTATTTGGTGGTGTACCAAAACGAACAATGGAAAAAACAAGTTTACGTGGTGATATTAATATTTGTATTGTCGGCGATCCATCGACAGCTAAATCACAATTTTTAAAGTAGGGAAAAATATTTTTATTGATTCAATTATGAATTTTTCTTGTTCAGACAAGTTGCAGAATTTTCACCACGGGCTGTTTATACAAGTGGTAAAGCTTCGACAGCTGCTGGTTTAACTGCAGCTGTAGTTAAAGATGAAGAATCAAGTGAATTTGTTATTGAAGCTGGTGCACTCATGCTTGCTGATAATGTAAAAAATCGAATATTTGTTTTTTCTTAAACGTGATTATTTAATTTAGGGTGTTTGTTGTATTGATGAATTCGATAAAATGGATCCAAAAGATCAAGTAGCTATTCACGAAGCTATGGAACAACAGACAATTAGTATTACAAAAGCAGGCATAAAAGCCACACTCAATGCACGAACATCGATCTTAGCTGCAGCTAATCCAATTGCTGGACGTTATGATAAATCACGATCATTGAGACATAATGTTAATATGAGTGCACCTATTATGTAAGTTTTATCGAGAACTACGAAAGCATTGTATAATGGAGCATGTTTTTTTTATAATTTAGGTCTCGTTTTGATTTATTCTTTATTGTTATTGATGAATGTAACGATGTCACTGATTACAATATTGCTGAACGTATTATTGATTTACATACATCGGGAACTCGTGTATCAAATCCGTCACTCGTTACTCCATACACATTTAATGATATTCGAGATTATATTACCTATGTTAAAGCAGCTGTTCAACCAAAATTAACGTCAGCTGCGAAAGAACATATTATAGGACTCTATAAACAATTACGTTTACGTGAAACATCATCATCAAGTACTGGCCGTGTATCATCGTCGTCAACACCGATCACTGTTCGTCAATTGGAAAGTTTAATTCGTCTATCGGAAGCTGTAGCTAAAATGTATTGTCAAGAAGAAATTGATATTAAACATGTTCAAGAAGCTTATCGACTTTTAAGTAAAGCTATTATACATGTCGATCAACCAGATATTGATCTTAATGAATATAATCGACCAACAGCAACTGCAACAGACGAACCTATGGAAGAAGAACAACAAGAAGACACAAACAAGGACGAAACGAAAATATCTGTTGATGAATATAAACGTTTAACAAATATAATGGTTTATCAATTACGTAAATTAGATGAAGAACAAGAAAGTGATAGTCAATCAACTGTTGTTATGCCTGGTGTTAAACGGCGTGAGCTTGTCAATTGGGTACTTGAGCAATTAGCCGATGAAATAAATAGTCTTGATGAATTAGCACGAAAGAAAGCAACACTAGATAAAATTATTGATCGTCTTGTACATGTCGATGAAATTCTTATTCAACTTGATAAACGTACTGTTAGTCAATTTGGTGCTGCAACCGATGGTAAAACTGCTACGGCAGGTGAAGAAGAAGATAGTGAAGATCCCGATGGAAATAATCTTTATCTTATTGTTCATCCAAATTATGTTACTGAAGATCAATAGATTAGATATATGTATAATTAAATATAAATCTCTTATTTTTCTTGTAAAATTTAAATACATCTATTTTTTTGCCTCGATAGAATAAATATCAATGTAGGAAGTTAATAAATATAGGAATTCTTCTTATTTCAATGGATATTCATATCTCTAAAATAGATTTTGAAGGATTCTAATAAGTTTTGGTCTGTTAATAGCGTGTGTGTCCGTTTTGATGAAGATAAAGCGCACGCACATTCAGAGAATTATCTTATTCAGTGTGCTGAAAAGATTCGTCATAAATAGTAGTGTACATGTTTGATATTTTTATCGTAAATGGCGGATCAAATTATAAGTAATTTGAGGAAAAATATAAAAACCAAAAAGTTGAAGCTGAGATATGCGCATTTTACTGTTCACAGCATTACGGTACAATTCATCCATACTTGAAAAAAATACATTTTTTTATAAAAGAAATGTGCACTAGCAATTCAAAAGTAGCCTTCGATCGAAAATTAATATATAGAGTAAGATATAACACTACTTCTTTGAACATTGTAATATACATTCGCATGGGCGAAGTCTGGAATGAATCTGGTGACCATGTCCAGTTTCGCTCATGAACAATCACAGGCCAAGTTAGTAGTGCTATATTATAATGAGTAGCTGTCTAATTCGAGTTCGAATATAAATGGAGAAAAGAAAAAGTTAAACTAAAACTAAATCTAGGAATAGATTTAGTTTTAGTTTAACTTTCCGATATATGCGACATACGAATACATATATACCCTTCACCCACTTCATCTTAAACTAAATATAAAACTACATCTATTTCTTTCACTTATTTTCGAATTGATACCATGCATTTGGGGATCCATTTATATTCGAATTCGAACTAGGTATCTCATGGAAAAGAACATATCCGATGACGGCATATGCTATATAAAAGTTACTTATTTCATAGTTCCGAAAATAAAAATACCCTAAATTAAAAAAAAACATTTGACAGTCAGAATTATCATATCATCTCATTATCCACAAATGTGGATTTTATTTAGGGACTCATTTAGAGAACCACAAGTTTTGGAAAATGATGCCCATTCGATCGAATGATATGAGGAATAAAATCTATCTCGAAAATTCCATTTTCTTCTCATAGATGCGCCGAACCATTTGATAATGATCTTTGAGATTCTTCGGTCCATTGAATTATCTTCTTTAGTTTCTGTTTTATCTCATCCCATTCAGCTTGTCATCTTTTCTGTTTATTTGTATTTATCAGCCGCGCTTCTTCTTATGCCCATATTAAATATTGTACTCTTTCCACTACGCTCCATAGATATTCATTGTCAGTACGTCTGAGTTTTACAATAAACAAAGAGCAAAGACAATCACAAAACCTAGATGTATCTACATTTAATTATGAATTTAAATGGCATTAATGATTTCTATCGAAGCAGACCTGCTTTGAAGAGAACTGCACACCTTTTCTGAGTCATTATTCTCTTCAAAGCCACTTAATGAAATGAAACATTCGATGTTGAGGTGTTATGTGGTTCTTCGCCGAAGTTTATATTTTTTCTTTTGAAGCAGAAATTTAGCCATCATAAAATTTTCCTGTTGGTAAAAATGAAGGCAGAATGAATAACAAAAACGCTTAAACAGAATAAGACTGTTCGCCGAAACATCGAATGCACGAAGTGGCACAACGAATAAATATTTACTTATGTGAAATTCTGTCGAAGTTTACCTCTAGCTGATTGATTCTTACCTGCCTGCTAGATCAACGCTGTTTCTAACGTAAGGTAAGCGACTTTCTAAACTTCCTCTTTCGCGTACTCATGTAAAAGAAAAGTAAGCTAAATCAACACTAAACTATTTTCAAATTACTCTTTTTACCCTTGCAAAATTACTTATAAGTGAACCATCTTGAGTAATTTTCATAGTTTTCGACTAAAAATTGCTATCGAGTATTCGTGGATGTGAAAAAGGGATCAAGTTCACTAGAAAAAGTGAAAAACAGTGATAAAATAAAATTTATTTTTCAACATTAATATTAAAAGCAGTTGTCACATTTCCTAGTGAATTTGATCACTTTTTTCACTTTCACTAGTACTCAACAGCATCTTTGTGGAACTCACATATATTTTCGAAGAAAACAGTGAGCGAAAGTTTTAAGGTAAGGTATTTCGCGACTTTTCACTCTCTCGACCCTGCTCCTCATTACAGACATCAGTAATTAAAATTTACCGTCGCTAATTAGAGATGGCGGCGCTTAGGACTCTATGTGTCTGAATACCATTATAGATCTTAGTCAATAGACTAGGCCAATAGTACGAGAATAAGGAAGTAGGTAATGACCTAACTACAGATCTTAGAAATAAGACGAATTTTAAGGGGGTGAAGACATTTCGTACTAGTGTCCCGGTAATCCGTTGAGGTGTTCGGAATTGATTTTCGCCTTTAAAAACATTTACCGCGAGTACATAACACATGTTGTTCAGGTTATCGTAATTTTAAAAAATACAGGGAAATCGGAATGAAATGGTCTACAATATGTAAGATACTGTCAGGAAATCGGGGCGAAAATGGCCGGATGTCCGTAAACTCATTTTACCTGGAGATCGTAAGTATATCATAATACTTATAGAGTGCGCTATCTTAAGAAGAATGGAAATACGATATAATTAAAAATCGCCGCTTGCAAATGTTATTGGTTAGACGATTAATACAAGCTACTGAGTCATTTGAAATCTCTCAAAATGTGTACACATGAACACAGTTGCGAACATCCTGCCTCTTTTCATTACGACCTTCATGTTTTCGTTGTTACGATCTTCCGGTCATTTTCATCCCAAACGCCACGCAAATTTCAGTTTTTGTTTTTCAAAAATACTGCTGTCCGTTACGGTCTATTGAACAACTTTCATTTCGAACACCCTGGTTGTTTAAAATTTTTGTCATTACGAAGAGCAAATATGTTGTTATATGTCTGGAAATCGCAACCAACATCTCCTCAGGCAAATCGAAATGAAAAGTTAGTGCGAAATGTCTCTTTCCCATTTTAAGGATAGAATTTAAACGTAACCTGGTTTTTACATCGGATAAGTATGAATAGAGACTTCCTATGAGCCCACGCTCATACTGACACCGTTACACACATCCTCTGGTCATTTTAATGCAAATCGAAGATATCTCTCTCGCATATTCTGTTTTATTTCAAGGTACTGAAGAATCATTGTTGAATAGATTTGCTTGCATAACTACTATTTTAAGTGAGTCATTGTGATCGATAACTATCGAAGATCAATATTTATTATTAGAACAAGAAGCATGAATCATATTGCCACTTTCTTCATGTGTGATGGTCCTGTGATCTCTGATTTGATTCGAATTATAATCTATGCTTATCTATTATTCGATTGTTTCATGGGTAAAATAACGGCACCTCCCATTGGCGATACACCCTTACAAGCACATGTGCTTTTACAAAAAACAAACCCACTATTTTGGTCTATTAACAACAAATTTTCTAGATATTTTCTATTTTTGCATCGGTATGAATACTTAAAAATAATTATCAGAATAGCGAAAATATCGTGGATCTGCTGTATAGTAGGACTCGGAGGCTTTATTACGCGATCAATTACAGGAATATCAGTTTTCATCTTGTCTACATCAATAATTGGAATCGGAAAAATAGGTGTTCGCCATCGTTGGCATGTTCCAACATGGACATTGTTAGCGTTAATATTTACTAAATTTAAGACAAACAGCGTCGATCATCTTATCACTACATATATTAACAGTCGTTATAATGCTGAACCAAATCAAATAATATTTGACAGCGGATTTTCATCGAAATTTATTCAGTGTATATCATTATACACATTATTCGCCGCTGGAATTAGTAAATTGCGGAATTCTGGCATTCAGTGGATACTCCCTGGTACACTTACGTTCTATTTATCTGATCCCACTTTAGATAATTTTACTGTAATGTCAAAATTTCGAAAAGATTTAAGACGACTTATTCTCCAATATCCGTTGATTATTATTATGATATCTGGCAGCTCTTTAATTTTTGAATTAATATCAATTTTTGCACTGTTTTTTCCATCCATACGTCTTATAATTGTCATATTTGCATGGGCATTTCATTTTGGAATCTTACTTCTACTCAGCCCAAATTATTTACCTCAATGTGTATGTTACTTGATGATTATTGATATTCCATGCCACACAAAAATCTATCAAACCAATATGAACATTAATTATGTCGATATATTCGTGATAGTTACTGCAATAATGATAATAGTCGGTTATCTACTTAGTTTAATATACTGTTACGAGGGTTGGCCATTTACATCAGTTCCAATGTATGCATTGGATCGTCGCCAATTCACTCATGATTATTTGATTGATGAAAACCAATTGAATTATTTAGGGAACGAACTGCATTTATTAAATGGAATTTCTGTTGGTTGTAATGATCAGTTTAGTTTCGGTGAAACATGGATTAGAATAACTAAAAATGATGGAAATATGAACATAATAAAACAAATTTGCTTTCATATGTGTCCCTTTGAATATGCTTTTAGGCACAGTCTATTATCAGCTCTAATACGATCCATCGTAATTTCAAAACATGAAATGGATATTTTTATTCTCAATATTTTTGATATACTAGCAGCGGACGATTTACAATTCATAACCAAAAATGAATTCATTAGCGTAGAGATTCATTTCAAAGATGGATGGAAAACGTACTCAACTAGTAAACGGATCAAGGAACATTAAGCCATACTCGAAAGTAACACAGAATCAATCTACAATGAAAACATATGAACTAAGTGACCCTTCTTGAAATTACGCTTAAATCGACAGTGCCTGATTTTGATTTCGTGTTCTGTAGTTAAATCATGTTAATCTGTGCACATCCTTTGTCACGATACCCAATTTTGAATCATTTCATAATACTACCATCGTTTGCCGTCATTTGTGCCTTTTCTTCATTTTTGTTACTGGTTAAGTGTTTGAGCATGGGGTGTCCAGAAGAAGGAATAAAGTTAAATTTCAAGTAAGCGCGATTAAAAAAGAAAAATTTCATCATACGTTCATAATTTGTATTTATTTTTTTTCTTTTCAACTAAGCAGAATATTTTCAAGTCTCCAAATATTGGGGAGGGGGCTATTCTCCCCCCCCCCCTTC